GACTGTGAATGGCTATCCAACTACAGAAGCAGTTTCTCCTCCCTTGGTGTTCACACCTCAACTGCTTGCAGAGCACCTCACCCTCCCTGATTGAACTAACCTCGTTATCTCCACACTGATATATACCTGCCTCTGGAGATTTCCATTACTTGCATCTGAAGAAGTGAGGTTCTTACCCACGAAAGCTTATGCTCCCAGTACTTCTGTTAGTCTCAAAGGTGCCACAGGACCCTCTGTTGCTTTTTACAGATTCAGACTAACACAGCTACCCCTCTGATACTTGACACTTTGAGTAAGTGGATCTCCCTCCAGCCCTAGTGAATGTAACTCTCCAGTTGCTCCTGTTGTTTAATCATCGTTTTTGTCATAGGTGTGTGTGACGCAACAGGGAGCGGGGCGGATTTGACCTGGAATGTTGCAGGGGAGTTACATTGGGGATGGGGGACTTCCCTTGAAGGAAGATACCTGAGCTGTAACCTGAGCCAGAACGGGGGTTGGGAGAAGTGACACCTTCTGGCCGGGAGACTGGACAAAGGAGAGGAGGAGTTGTGGGGAGAGGAGAGAGAGCTGCTGGAGGAGTTTTTAGTTTCAGTTTTGTGCTAAGTGGTGAAACGCGGGGAACCCCAAGGCTGGGGTCTAAGCTCCCTGCCCCCCAGAATGACTTGACTGAGGGGTCCTGGCTGTACCTACAAGCTCTGTTTTAGACTGCGTTCCTATTGTCCTATAAACCTTCTGTTTTACTGACTGGCTGAGAGTCACGGTGAATCCCAGGAAGAGGGGTGCAGGGCCTTGACTCCCCCACACTCCGTGACAGTGTGTATCTAATACCTGGCCATTTTAATCTTCAGAAGTGCTCAGCATTAATTGGGAGACGGGGGGGCTCTAATAGTTAGAACATGTGTCAGGACACCTGGGTTCCATTCCTGCTTTTGCCACGGAGTCATCATGTGACCTTGAGCAAGTCACTTGACCCTCTCGGTGCTTCATTTTGCCCATCTGTAAAATGGAGGATAATATCCTCTGCGCTTGGCAGGGATGAGACGAGGCTGTTTGTAAATCACTGGGAGACACCACACTGAGCAATGCTATGTGGATGCACAGTGTTGTTGTAGAACTTTGCTTGTTAATAAGATGGCCAGCGGAGTGGTTGATCCCTGATCAATGTTCTACTAAAGATCTGCACAGCGGAGAGCCTTGGTTAATGGGATTCAAAGGGAAAAACCCTCTAATGCTGGAGCTCCAAGGAGAGGCGAGCGTCCAGTCCACTGGCAGGGGGAAAGCGGGACAGTGCCAACAACCCTGTGGCCTGGGTCATTTATTATCCGCGTCAGAGGTGGTGAGGTGAGGGCAACTCATGTAACTTGGCATATCTTATGCCGAGAACAGTTTCCAGCTGCAAGCAGCGTAGCCCAGTCTGCTTTTATACTTTGCTGATCTCAAAGCGCTTTCCGAACATCATTGCCTCGCGGTTGTAGGTAAATATCACTATCCCCGTTTTACAGATGAAGAAACTGAGGCACGAGGCGATTGCGTGGCCTTTGGCAAGCCGTTTGGTGAGTCAGTGGCCTACTCCAAATCTCCTGCCTCCCCGCTCTAACCATGAGCTAGAGCTACTGTAGCAGATGTTGCCTGTTTACTGCAAGACCCCCGGTTTGAGTCTGCTATGGTCAAGTGCTCTGTGTGAAAGGCCAAGTCCAGCTAATGAATAGTTAAACCCACTCACTGGTATTTGGCACCAGCTGTTGAGCACAGCATCAGGGAAGTTTTTGATCCCAGTATTTGTGTATCAGAGGCAGGTTTTGTGGCAAAAGCTATAGAATAAGGTAAGGGTATTGTGTGGGCAGGACAACAGTACCAGAGGGAGAAGCGTATAGTACCCAAATCTGGAAGGAGAAGTCTGCGGAGTCCAAGCTAAAATGGGAAGGCAGCAAGCTAATGAACAGTGAATGCTCGCACATCACGGTGTCCTGGCATAGACCGCAGGGCATGTCTGCACTTGATCTGTTCACACTCAGTTAGGTACCCAATGCAATGATATTTACCCCCTGTCTGGAAATGCGCTGACGGGGGGAGTGGGGGGAGGAGGGCCAGGCTGGCGCTTTCATTTAACCCTTCCGGGTAATCTAGCAGATCATGGGACTGCCTGGAGGTGTGGAGCTGCCAGGCTTAATTAATTTATTCATTATAAGCTGTTATTTACTTGGGGAGTAAAAGGAGAAGCTCTGCTGAGCCCCTCCCTGTGTCCAGCTCCCTGTTGGGAAGGATGCTCTGGGGTGGAGCTGCTGTGTTGTTCTGTCCTGGAAGCTGATGGCCCTAGCTCCCACCTGTTCAAGCTGGCTCCCTGGCAAGCCCCTCGGCACCGTTCACACTCCATTGGCAACTGGAGCTCGCCTAACAGGGTCCATCTCCTGGCCCCTCCCTCAGCCAGATAGGTGGGTATTATTCTCCCTGCTAATGATAAAGCTAAGGAAACAGACAGACAGGGGAGTGCCCTGCCGCAGGTCACACAGCCAGTCAGTGGCAGAGCTGGGAATGATCGCTCCCTGCCCCTTGTCCGATTTGCTAGGCCCCACTGCCCCTCTGAGCATCCTCATTGGGGCGTACCAGGTGTTCTTGTGGCCCTAAATTCGCTCCCCTGTCTGTTCCAGGCCATGGCTCTGTTCCAGGATCTGCTGAATGAGGTCAATGGCGTGAAGACGGCTAATTTCCATATGAACGAGGGCCTTGAAAACATCAAGGAGAAACTTGACTTGGTGAGTGTGGCCCTTGCCCACAGAGCAGAGCCGGCCTGGTCACACTCCCTGGTGAGGGGAGCGCCAAGCCTTCTCCTTCCAGCCCTGAGGCACCGACATCCCCTAGTCTCTCTTGCTGTATGCACTGAGCCCTCCCTGTCCTCCACCCTCCACCACCTGGGAGCGGGGCTCTCCCTCCTGCCACGAGCAGCACTCAACCCCAAGGGGAGTTACCGCTTGAGTGAGGGCAGCAAAGAGAATGAGACCTCTCTCCTGGTCCTGTCCCCTTGATTTCTCTTCTCGCTACTCCCCAGGCCTTTATGAGCTGATATTCCCCACCCCTGCTGTGTTTTGGGGGTAACTTTGAGTGCAAGCTGCTTGGGCCAGGACTACGCCTGGCTTATGTGCAGCAGATCAGCATGCTCTAATGTCAGTGTCCAATAAGAACACACTGTTCCCCCGCTGCACATGTAGGGGAGAATGTCTCCTCTCCCTCCCTCTCTGTCTGTCTGTGGTAATGCTGGTCAGAGCAGACAGAGGGGACTGGCTGACCTTTCCTCTCCTGTGGGAATTGCAGTGAAGACCAGCTTGTATCCTTCGGTCTGCCCCCTATTACTCTAATACCAGGAAAGGGCAGGCGAGGGGTTGCTCTGGGGAGAGAGGAGGGGGGAGACTCCATAGTTCACCATGTAAAATATCTCATTTTGCTTGTACATTGGCCTCCTCAATTAAAATGCCCACGCGGTGTCTTTGGCATGGGACAAGGGGAAGGAGCAGGAGATGCTGCCAGAGGACAGTGCAAAAACCGCCGATAGCTAAGCTGGCCAGGGACGGCAGAAGGCATTGGATCTGCTTGCTGGGACCGAGATGCATCGGCAGAGCTAGGAAGGGAATAGCAGGGGATGCTGGGGCTGAAGTCCATCGGCAGCGTGGCTTCTGGGGAGCCCAGGCCTGGAACAGCAGGGCGGGATGCAAGTCAGAACTGAGCTGTGCATGGGCACGGGGGAGCTGGCTATTCAGACAGAGCTGTGTGCCGGCCCCGCACACCAACCGCGTGGTTGAGTCGATGTGGCTGGGGAGTAACGTGTGGGGGAGTCGTGCACTGGGCTCACCTGCACTCTCAGGCCTTCCCTTCCCTAGAGCCTTGTTACTGTTCCTGAGCGCTCCGCCCAGGAGTTAACCAGCGCCAGAGCAGAGGGAATGGGGTTTGTACTCCCAGGGCCTGGGGAAGCCGTGCTGGGTGGCCTGGCCTGTAACAGCAGAGCCAATTGCCTGGTTCAGGTAACATGAGCTGATGCTGCAGCCAGGAGGTAAAAATTCAGCACTTGGGACCCCCACAAGGGATCCCAGCAAGGTGACAAACACGCCTGATGCCAGCTCCTGATGGGTTGACACGAGTGTGAGGAGTTGCCGTCCTCAGGTGCCCCTGGGGCAGGTGGGCTAGAGAAGCATTCACCTTTGTATCACCGCTGCCTTCTCCTGCCAGTTCCACCAGGGTGGGGCAGCTTTAGAATCCACCCGGGGGCTGGCGGAGGGGCTGAGAAAGAACATTGGAATGTGAGGGGGTATTTAGCGCAGGGAAGGGGTGAGGAAGAGCCAATCCCCTGCTAACTGCTGGAGGAGTTAGATAGATAAAGGAGCCCAGCATGGGATCCAGGACAGGGCAACCTGTCCACCATGCCCCTTGAAGGACTAAGACAGGGACCATTGTTCCGTGTCAATGGCGAGCGAGAACGCTCAGCAGGTAAATCATTCTAGCAAGGCCTGGGGGAGCTCCCACCTGCCTCGTGCCGGCCATAGGTCTCTGCCAACCGAGGGATTGTTGCCAGGTGGGGGAGAGTCTGAACCTTGTGATGCCGCCCACAGGGAGGCAGCAGAGCTTGGCAGTGCCCAGCTTACTTCTTGTACCTTCAGGGATCCTCAGGGTGGCCATCTGCAGGCACGCTTGCAAAACACGCTAGCTCCCCCGAGGATCCAGCCAGCCGCAAGAGCTCATTCTTTTTGCAGCTTGGCAAGCCGCCTTTTCCCGTGAGCCTTGGGGGAAGGGAGGGGGGCCGTGGGGAAGCAGTAAACATCTCGTTTCCTAGAGTACAGGGAAACAAAAGCTAAGTGGATGCCAAGGCTGAGCCTTTACTTTGTGTGTTCAGCCCCAAAAGCATGCTCTACCCGAGAGAATAGGTGCTTGCAATCCAGACCCAGGGCCGGCGCGACCCGTTAGGCGACCTAGGTGGTCGCCTAGGGCGCTACAATTTGGGGGGTGGCGACCGCAGCGGTATTCCGGCGGCGGGACCTTCTGTGGGGGGCGGCATTTCGGGGCGGAACCTTCCGCCACCTAGGGCGGCAGAAAAGCTGGCGGCGCTCCTGCTCAGACCCCACCCTGCGTGACTTGGGCCAGCCCAGCCTACCTCTCCGACCTAGTCCCTTATCACAACCCCCTCTGCTTTGCCACTGATGCCCAGCCCCAATGTCCCCCACAACACAGGACTGGAACACCCTCCCTGTTCTGCTTCCCCAGCCCATCCCCTCTTGCCTTTCCAGTCTCTTCCAAACACTTGCTTCTTCAGCTCCAACAAGTGGGGCTTGAGAAACCCACTTTCCTGTGGTAAATAGAAAACTGATCTGTGGGGGTCTTTCCGTTGACTTCAGTGGGCTGTGGATCAGACCCATAGTGCTGGGCTTTCAGGGGTTTTCAGGGTGACCTTTTCCATTTAATTGGTGCTCACCCCAGTCCCAATCATATACAACACAATGAACTGAGGTCAGAGCTAGTTTCAAGTGTTTTACTTGTATGCTGTGCTTAAAGGGATATGACCAAGACAGAAAACCATATTTATAAATATCACACCCTTTCCTGGGTTTTTAATACCACTTTAGATGATCAAAACTGAAAGATCTTTACAAATCAGAGGCCCGATTCTGCAGACATTCGCTCACATCAGCCCCTTCAGTTGACTGAAGAAGGCTTTGTCAGACTGGGTTCTTAATCTGTTTTTCAGAACATACGCTCCTTAATTAAGGTGAGTGAAGTACAAAAAATTATCTTCTCAGTTTTGCTCTCTGTTTGTGGCCCGTTTGATGCACTAGCACAAAGTTCTTGTGTTGAGTTTTCAGTACTGGAGGAAGAAATATTTAAAGGCACACCATCGACTTAAGCATTCCATACCTGTCTGAATTTTTTGGACCCTTTCCAGTTAACAATAACTCCCAAGATTACTAGAATTGAAATAGACTAGAGCAAAGTGGTTTTTTTTGCTCGCTCCTTCAGTTCGTTTACTTTGCATTTTGTGTAGTCAAACTTTTCCCTGCTCGGTGAGAACAAATAGTCAGTTTCTTCCCATCTTGCTTGCATGACTTTCACAGAGCAACAGCAGAGAGCAAAACATTTAAAAGACAGGAAAATGGCATTGTAAACCTACAATTTGGCAGGGGGACCAAAGGGCATTTCACTCAGTTTCTGAAATTGACTGTATTTCAAGCTGATGCCACTGCCTTTTGAAATAAAAATAACAGGAAAATAGATATTGGAGGGGGGAATATAAATGCGCACACACATTGTGGGTGTGCGGGTGTGGGCTTGCACATGTGTGCTCACACAACCCCCCCTACATTTTGGATCAAAGTCTAAATTGGCCATCTTCCTTTTTAAAGGCAATCACACACACACACCAGACTGTAGGAGATTAACTAAACTCTCTTCTCTTGCAAGAATTTACAACTAGATACCCAGGAAATTGGCAATCTACTGCAGACTTGCATCGCTGATCAGAAGAACTTGGATAATGATGTGGTATGTCTCTGAGAGGAACGATTTGCATATGAATTGCCAAGGCACCCCCCGGGGCCCCAATTCTCATTCCTTGACTCCTCCTTTTTGGATGCTGATCTTCACTGAAATCCCTAGCTTCTCCTCCTTTGTTATTTCTTCCCCCCAGGTCTTCTGCTCTGAGTCAAGATCTCAGCTACTTGGACCAGGAAGGACCTGATCCTGAGCATAGGCGCCAACTCCATGGGTTCTCCGGGGCTGGAGCACCCATGGGGAAAAATTAGTGGGTGCTCCGTCCCACCTCGCCTCCACCCCTGAGTGCGCCGTGTCCCTGCTCCTCCGCCTACCTCCCAGCGCTTGCTCTGGGAGGGAGGGGGGAGGAGCGGGAACATGGCGCACTCAGGGGAGGAGGCGGGGCCGGGGCAGGGATTTGGGGAAGGAGTCAGAATAGGGGCAGGGAGGGGGTGGAGTTGGGGCGGGGACTTTGGGGAAGGGGTTGGAATGGGGGCGGGGCGGGAGGGGGTGGGGCAGGGCCGGGGGCAGAGAGGGGTCAAGCACTTACCGGCGGGAGCAGAAGTTGGCACCTATGATCCTGAGAGCTCACTCCCTGTGACTTCAGTGCTCAGCATGTCTCAGGGTCAGGCCCTAAGCAGCGCAGTAGGAACAGGAATTACACATATATTGAGGGGCAAGGCACATGAGTGTCTTCCTGAGTTTCAGTGGTGTCCTCCTTCCTCCTGACGCATCAGGAAACACCCCAATCCATCCAGCTTTCTCTCTTGCTAGAGCAGGGGTAGGCAACCTATGGCATGCGTGCCGAAGGCGGCACGCGAGCTGATTTTCAGTGGCACTCACACTGCCTGGGTCCTGGCCACCAGTCCGGGGGGCTCTGCATTTTAATTTAATTTTAAATGAAGCTTCTTAAACATTTTAAAAACCTTATTTACTTTACATACAACACTAGTTTAGTTATATATTATAGACTTAGAGAAAGAGACCTTCTAAAAACGTTAAAATGTATGACTGGCACGCAAAACTTTAAATTAGAGTGAATAAATGAAGACTCGGCACACCGGTTCTGAAAGGTTGCCGACCCCTGTGCTAGAGGATTCTTTAGGGGCAGGAAATGCCAGTGCTTCTATAGGAGGAGTTAGAGCCTCCGCTTCTCCACTAGGAAGGCTTAGGTGTCTGTCCCTGATACTCCATGATCGCAGAAGTGGTGGTGTGGGCAGCTGGGGAGCGTCTGTGCCATCATGGAGCCAAGGATGCTGAACTGGTTACCATGCGTAGTACTGTTCCTCTTCTCCTCCTGGTGCTGGTTCTGTGCTCTCCCTGTAAGGGGCCCCTATTTTTATTGGTGTGTCCAAGACAAAGTCAGCTGCTCAGTTTGGGGAACATACATTCTCTGTCGAGCTACCTTCTTGGGTGATCACTGGCCTGCTAGTCTCTGAAGAGTTAATGGAGGAAAGAATGAAGTCCCTTCCTAGACATGCCCCATAGAAGTACAGTCATCTCTGTTTGATTTTGGTTTGCTTCCTTTCCAGAGGAACCTAGAGCGAAGGCTAAATCTCTATCCTTCCCCCGAAGAAATGTATAACATGGTGCGCTGGGAAGTTCTGGAGGACTGCCTTGTGACAGGCAAAGGCAAGAGCCCACCCACTGTGAGTGTGACTTCATTTAGGGGTGCCGGGAGGAGGGGAAAACTTAATATGTTTGCCCCATTCCTCTACCTCGGCTGAGACATCCCCGTAATAGTAAGGAGGGAGATCTTGTGAATCTGGAACTTTTCCGGCCTTTATGCGGCTTGACATGAACGTGTTCGATCTGATACGCTCTTCTCTGGGGTAGGGTGTCCGGAACTGGCTTTGGGGGATCAGCCTGCACCTCTGTCACGTTTCACATTTCTAGGCCCCAGTGCCATGCAAGGTTCCACTTGAGCAGGCTCTCATCCAAGGCTTCTCTTTAAATGTGCCTTTTCTGAGCAAAGCTGTGTGAAACTGGAGATGTAAGAGACAGCGAGGCCTTTTCCCTCCGCCTGCCCTCTGACCCCATGTTGTGATGGCACCTTGTGATTGCCATTCTCTGACACCAACGAGCCATGCCTGAGCACTGGAAATCCTTGTATGACTCCCACCCAGGGCTTCCCAGTGCAGGAGCGCCTGAACAGGGGAGCCAAGGGGCCATGACCCTCCCACTTTTTGCCTGTCCACTTTTCACCACCGGCCCCAGCCCTGTCCCTCTTTGTCCCCCTGAGGTTCCACCTCCCAGCCAGGCCAGAAGTGGAGCCTGGCCCAGGGAGCCCAGGCAATGGTGGGGAGCTGCTGACCCTCCATCTGCCCTGGGTGGAGTGGTCCGGGGGGCCGGGACATGGGCCTGGGGCTGCTCTCTGGCCCCCCCACCATGGGCAGGTGGAGGGGCCCTGAGTCCCTGGCCACCCTCCTGCTTCTGGCTTTATGGGGAGCGGAGCCTCAAGGGGAAGAGGGTGGCAGGAGTGGGGCCACGGAGGGGGCCACTTTTGGGAAGGCTCCGCCACCCCTGTCGCAGTGTCTAACTAGCACAATATGAGAAGGGTTATTTGTGTCATTTGGAGGCCTCACATTCTTGGAATTTATGCATTACAGAATTTTACAATGGTCACTGGACTAAATTAACCACTGGTGTAACCCCACTGAACCATCAGCTTTACCCAGTGCATGAATTTGGTCCTTTCTTTCCGTGCATGTTAAAAATGTCTTATAGATGAGCTAACTGATCTGGTTCTTTCCTTTTTCTTGTCTCCACGGGGCAGGCCTAGGGCAGCTTCCTGTTACATTTAACTGTCTAGGGAAGTCACTGGCTGAATCTTCATGATTAGATAGCAGTGAAGTCACCATGTCTTATACAGGTTGATTAGAAGGCTAGTCCTGAGTGAAGATTAATTTGGTAGCTGTTGCCAGGGGATGGCTGTCAGCCTCAGAAAATAGCCCCACAGCGTGACACAATTGGTAGCTTATGGTCAAGCTGGAGGAATGCTAGAGTGGAGTAAGGCAAGGTGTTGTGGGTCAGGATGGAGATGCATTTGGCAGAGCATTGGAAGGTGTGGAGGAACTTACACGGTGTTTCCGTGTATCATACCTAGCTCTAGCCACTGTGCTAGCAGAACTGATTCTTTACACACGTAGGACTAAACCCTGCTCTTTTCCAAGAGGTTCATCAGAGCAGATCTCCACTTCTCTCCCTCCGGCTCAATCCCCGTTCTCCCAGAATTCACACATCCCATTACTCTAATTCACATGGAAACACGCTCCCCTTCGCTTTGACCTCCTCCTTCATCATGTGGAAATAGCACATTATATACTTTACCAGCGCACTTGCATCTGTGGAGAATAGATCAGTTTAGCTGCGGTCAGAGTTACAGTTATGCACTTGGAAGTGGGTTAGAATAGCTGCATGTGTGTATTGTGATTGGTACTCATTGGAGGTGCAAGGGAGGTTGTAGTGAAAGTGAGGTGCCTGTGAGCTTGTGGGTGAAGATTGGTTTAACTGGGGACTTCAACTTGTAGTGATCACCTTGGTGGGTTTTGTACTTCAGCAGCCTTAAATCCAAGCTAACGAAGGAATGTGCCTGATTGAACACATCTGTAATGCACCCCTCCATCCATGAACAGGCTGTGAGGGACACTCAGAGGCAGCATGTGGCTCATAGCATGCCTGTCAAACAATTAACTTCATATAGCATCATACAAGGTGGCCACATCATGACTGTACCATTCTATGGGAGTCACAGATTACTACTGAGATCCCTTTGTAGGTATGGAGTAGAAAAATAGAGACACTCGCAGGGCACAGGAGGTGATATCCTGTAGGGCAAATCAACCCATAGGAATACAAGAAGTTAATTGATCAATTGGGAGCTTCTGTTCCAGTGCTAATCTCTATAGTAAGCAACACATGATATTCCTAACGCGTGCTATTCATGTTCTGTGTCAGAAACTCTCTAAAGTTAACCCATACGGACGCATGCAGGTGGCATAGTTTCCAAAAGAAATCATTTCTTTCCTTACCACAGAATGACATTTCATTTGAATGTGACTGCTAATTCCCAGAATCAGTCATTCCAAAGACAGTCCCTGGAATGTATTGGTGCTATGAGGAGGTGATAAAGCTGATCTGACCTTCTCAGAATGGGATAGGCCTGAGCCACCAGATCTAGAGTTGGATGTGGATTTCCAGCTCCTGAGAGTCTGAGGGTGGACCTGGGGTTCTGGTTTGGCTTAGGGACTCCCCCTACAGAATTATGCTCAGGATCCTGATACCAACTCCTCCCCCCACCTCAGCCTCACACATTTTAGCTCAAGAGTGCTTCAGTCCAGAGTTTCAGTTCTGGCTCATGTGATTTTCATGCATACACAATGCTTGTTGTTCCTATGGAGGGCGTTTTGGCAGACAGAGTAACTGTAATACCTGGTGGGAAGGGAATGTGGGAAGTAGCTGGTGATTTCCCCATGGTGGGGAAGGGTGTGTGACTGACAGGGGCAAGTGTACACAATTGAAAGGGAGAGTCAGATATCTGCTAGGAACCCCATCCCAGAGACTCCCGTAGAAAGCAGGCTCCTAGGAAACACTTGGCCACTAATGGAATTGGTTCAGCGACCAGCAAGGTCGTCAGAGGGCATTTTGTGATTGCTGCTTCCTTTCAATATAAAGGCCGGTTTGCGGGCACGTCCTGTCCCATTGCCCATTCTGTCCAAATAGGCCTGTCTGATTTGATGGTAACGTTACTTCCAGTTGAAGTGCAGAAATAGTAGGGTTACCATACATCCGGTTTTTCCCGGACATGTCCGGCTTTTTGGCAATCAAACCCCCGTCCGGGGGGAATTGCCAAAAAGCCGAACATGTCCGGGAAAATGCCAGCCGGGCACTTCCCCTCCCGCGGCAGCTCTGCTCCTCCCCTGACTCTTCAGCTCTGTTTAAGAGCCGAATGCTACGGGCTTTGGGCAGCCCCCATGCCTCCGGACCCTGCGCCGCTGGAGCCAAGGAGGGGAAGTGCCCGGCTGGGGGCGCAGGGTCCGGAGGCATAAGGCTGCCCGAAGCCCAAGCGCTACCGGCTTCACGGTTTGCCGGGCAGCCTCCAGACCCTGCGCCCCTGGCTGGGCACTTCCCCTCCCGGGCTCCAGCTGCGCTGGGGAAGCGCCGGCCGGGGGCTCAGGGTCTGGGGGCTGCCCGGCAAACCGTGAAGCCAGTAGCGCTCGGGCAGTCCTTTTCGCGTGGCTGGGAGTGGGAGGGAGGAAGGGGCGGAGTTAGGGTGGGAAGGGGTGGAGTTGGGGCGGGGCTGGGGTTGAAATGGGCGGGGCCAGGGCCCTGTGGAGGGTCCTCTTTTTTTATTTGTTAAATATGGTAACCCTAAGAAATAGAAGAGGGTGGTTTTGAATATCCCAGCTTTCCCCCCACCCCTTTGCTTTGAACTAGGGCCCATCAGTAAATTGCTCCCATTCCATTGGTTTCCAGGAAGCCCAGTCTGTGGAGCCCAGCCTAAGCCAGCCCTCTCCAGCTTCAGTTATGGACACCCAAGCCAGAAAACCCTCTGCAACCTGGGCAGGGGCTCCAGGGAGCCAGTCTGGCTCTCCCAGCAGCAGACCTGGTACTCCAGGGGTGCAGGCCGGGACCAGGGCAGGCATGCCAGCGGTCCAGCCAGCAGCCCGGGCAGGCACTCTAGGAACCAGGACAGGCACACCAGAAGCCCAAGCAATCACTCCAGCAGCTCAGCCAGGGGCCCAGCCAGGCTCCCCCAGGACCCAGCCAGGGGCCCAGCCAGGCTTCCCCGGGGCCCAGCCAGGAGCCCAGGCAGGCTTCCCAGGGGCCCAGCCAGGCTTCCGCGGGGCCCAGCCAGGCTCCCAAGGGGTCCAGCCAGGGGCCCAGCCAGGCTTCCCCGGGGCCCAGCCGGGAGCCCAGCCAGGCTTCCCAGGGGCCCAGCCAGGCTTCCCAGTGGCCCAGCCAGGAGCCCAGCCAGGCTTCCCTGGGGCCCAGCCAGGCTTCCCAGGGGCACAGGCAGGCTCCGCCGGGGCCCAGGCAGTTGCTCCAGGATTCCAGCCGAGCTTCCCTGGCACCTGGCCCAGTTCCCCAGCGACCCAGGTGGGGCTTCCTGGAGTCTGGCCTGGAGCTCCAGGGACCCAGGCAGGCTACCTTGGGACCCCAGCAGACACTTCAGCATTCCAGCCCACATCACCTACAGCAGGTGCCCCGGCTCTAGCAGCCCAGCTCGCAATTCCACCTGGACCTTACTCTGCCGTTACATCCCCGGCGTCACCTTTACAAGAGAAGGACAAACGCCTACCCTCATCCACGCCGCGAGAGTCCTCTGGGTCCAGCAGCGCCTCCAGCCGCTACTCGGATACTGTGGAAGCGCTGCGCCAGATCGGGCAGCTGACCGACCTCTACACCACCTTGCAGGAGCAGATAAACCACCTGGAGCAATTCAAGTGTAGCCACGCCGACCTCGACAAGCTGCGACAATTCCTCTCGGATGCAGGTAGGGGCTTCCCCATCAGCCAGTGTCTTCATCACGTCCTTCTGGGAGGGAGCGATGCAGGCAGTTTCCTGGGCAAACACTCCTCGGGTATGGCTTCCCAGAATGGTGCTGACTGTAGCCTTCTGCTGGATCCACAGGGGTGTCTGGGTGAGCAGTGGTGCTCTTGGCTGGGGCCTGGATCCCTCCCCATGGTTCCTTAGTGACTGGCACACTGCTCGTACCTTTGGGCTGACTTCCTAGTGAGACGCGCTTGGTGGAATGGGTGCAGCTTACTTTGACCGGGCTGTCATTTGAGGGCATAAATATTCCGAGTGGTACACTTAATGGTCATAAATATTCCGCCTTGGGACTCTTGCCCTGACTTTGACGGGGGTCTAGCGTTCGCGCCAAGGTACCATTTTGAAAAGGGGCCTTTTATCGCATTTGGATCATTTTCTGGTTCACTTCAAAGTATCTTGTTGCATTTCCATCCCCCATCCTGAAACAATACAAAATATCCCAGTGGGGGGCACTGATGGGGGCTGTGGGGCTAAATGGGGGCGCAGGGAGTGCAATTCCATTCTTAGGGAAGCTTCATATCTCTGCTTGTGTTGGTTTGGAGGCGATAGCTGGTAATCTGCTTTCAGGGTCTGCCTCTGAGCTAAGCCATAGACTTATTAAAGGGGCCTTCTGTATCCTAGTAAAGAGGAGAGGGATAGAAGCTGATAAAGTGCAGGTAGGAACTGAAGAGAAACAATCAAACAAAAGAATCCAATTCAATTACATCACACAAAGGCAGACAGCTGAATACGGACACATTTTATAAGTGCTTGTGCACAAATGCTAGAAGTCGAAATACTGAGGTGGGTGAACTTGAGTGCCTGGTATTAAATGAGGATATTGACATAACCGGCATCACAGAAATGTGGTGAAAAGATTATAATCAATGGGACACCGTAGTACTAGGGTACAAAATACATAGGAATGACAGAGTAAGTCATGATGATGTGGGAGTGGCACTATATGTGAAAGAAAGCAGAATCAAATATACTAACATTTAAAATGCTTAAATTGTACCATAGAGACTCTATGGACAAAAATTCCATGCGTGAATAGTAAGAGTATAGCCATAGGAATATGCTACCAACCACCTGACCAGGATGGTGATGGTGATTGTGAAATGCTACAAAAACAGAAAACCCAGTAATAATGAGGATGTCCCCCATATTTACGGGGAACATGTCACCTAAGGATGGAATGCAGAGATAAAATTACTAGACACCATTAATAAGTACTTCTTGGAGCAGCTAGTCCTGGAACCCACAAAGGGAGAGGCAATTCTTGATTTAATCCTAAATGGAACGCAGGATCTGGTACAAGATGTGAATATAATTGAACTGCTTGGTAATGCCATAATATGATTACATTTAATGTTCCTATGGGGGGGAGTACCAAAGAAACCCACCACAGTAGCATTTAGCTTCAAAAAGGGGAACTACACAAAAATAAGGAAAATAGTTAAATGGAAATTAAATTAAAAGGAACAGCCACAAGAGTGAAATGCCTGCAAGCTGCATGGAAACTATTTCAAAACACCATAAAGGCTCAAATTAAATGTATATACCCCAAATAAAAACAACAACAGTGCAAGGACCAAAAAAAAATGCCACCATGGTTAAACAACAGAGTAAAAGAGGCAGTTAGAGGCAAAAAGACATCCTCGAAAAATTGGAAGTCAAATCATACTGAGGAAAATAGAAGAGAGCAAAAACTCTGGCAAGTCAAGCAAGTGTAAAAGTATAATTAGACAAGCCAAAAAAGAATTTGAAGAGCAACTAGCAAAGACACAAAAACTAGCAGCAAGTTTTGAAGTATATCAGAAGCAGGAAGCCTGCCAAACAATCAGTGCTGCCACTGGGTGATAGAGGTGCTAAAGGAGCACTCAGGGAAGACAAGGTCGTTGCAGAGAAGCTAAATTAGTTCTTTGCATCCGTCTTCACTGCAGAGAGTGTGAGGGAGATTGGTTCAGGTATGGGATTCTCTTTAAGGTGATAGATCTGAGGAACTGTCCCAGACTTAGGTGACAATAAGGAGGTTTTGGAACAAATTGATAAATTAAACAGTAATAAGTCACCAAGACCAGATGGTATTCACCCAAGAGTTCTGCAGGGACTCAGATTTGAAATTGCAGAACTATTAACTGTGGTATGTGACCTGTCGCTTAAATCTCTGTACCAGATGACTAGAGTATAGCTAATGTGACACTGATTTTAAAAAAGGTTCCAGAGGTGATCCTGGCAATTATAGGCTGGTAAGCCTAACTTCAATACCAGCGAATTGCTGAAACTATAGTAAAGAACAGAATTATCAGACACAGAAATGAACACGATATGTTGGGGAAGAGTCAAAGTGGCTTTTGTAAAGGGAAATCATGCCTCCCCAATCGATCAGAATTTTTTGAGGGAGTCAATAAGCATGACAGTGGATATAGTGTACTTGCACGTTCAGAAAGCCTTTGGCAAAGTCCCTCATCCAAGGCTGTCAAGCAAAATAAGCAGTTTTGGGTTAAGAGGGAAGGTCCTCTTCTGGATCAGTAACTGGTTAAAAGATAGGAAACAAAGGGTAGGAATAAATGGTCAGTTTTCACAGCGGAGAGACCTAAATAGCAGTCGTCCCCCAAGGGTTCTCTACTGGGATCAGTGCTGTTTAACACATTCATAAATGATCAGAAAAAGGGGGTAAACAGGGAGGTGGCAAAATTTGCAGATGATACAAAATTACTCAAGATAGTCCAAAGCTGACTACAAAGAGTTACAAAGGGATCTCACAAAACTGGGTGACTGGGCAACAAAATGGCAGATGAAATTCAGTGTTGGTAAGTACAAAGTAGTGCACTTTGGAAGAAATAATCCCAACTAAACAAATAAAATGATGGGGTCTAAATGAGCTGTTACCACTCAAGAAAGAGATCTTGGAGTCATTGGTGATAGTTTTCTGAAAATATCTGCTGAATGTGCACTAGCAGTCAAAAAAGCTAACAGGATGTTAGGAATGATTAAGAAAGGGATGGATAATAAGACAGAAAATATAATAATGCCACTATAGAAATCCATGGCATGCACACACGTTGAATACTGCATGCAGTTCTGGTTGCCCCATCTCAAAAATATGTATTAGAATTGAAAAAGGCACAGAGTAGGGCAACAAATATGATTGAGGTATGGAACAGCTTCCGTACAAGGAGAGGGAAAAAAACAGGAACTGGTCAGCTTAGAAAAGAGACGACTGGGGGGGATATGATAGAGGTCTATAAAGCGACAAATAGTGTTGAGAAAGCAACAGAGGGTCCTGTGGCACCTTTGAAACTAACAGAAGTATTGGGAGCATAAGCTTTCGTGGGTAAGAACCTCACTTCTTCAGATGCAAGAGTGTTGAGAAAGTGGATGGGGGCAGTGTTATTTACCCCTTCACATAACATAAGAACCAGGGGTCACCCAATGAAATTAATAACCAGCAGGTTTAAAATAAACAAAAGGAAGTATTTCTTCACACAACGCACAGGCAAGCTGTGGAACTCGTTGACAGAGAATGTTGTGAAGGTCACAAGTATAATTGGCTTCAAAAAGGATTAGATAAGTTCATGGAGGATAGCTCTATCAATGGCTATTAGCCAAGATGGTCAGGATGCAACCCCATGTTCTGGGTGTCCTTAAATCTCTGACAGCCAGAAGCTGGGTCTGCACAACAGGGCTCACTTGATAATTGCCCTGTTCTGTTCATTCCCTCTGAAGCATCTGACAGTGGCACTGGCCACTGTTGGAAGACAGGATACTGGGCTAGATGGACCATTGGTCTGACCCAGTATGGCCGTTCTTATGTACACAATCAATTAAGTGCTTCCTTTGTATTTCCGTGGTGGCGTCTAGTCCCTAAGAACCTCTCCAGCATGCCTGCTGACCTCATGGAGCAGCTGTCATCCCTGAAGGCCACGGCAGAAGACATGAAAGATGTAAAGGCCAAGGTGAGCAACTGGTGTGCCGTCTTGTAACCTAACCATGGAATCAGCAATGATTACAAGTCCACTGTGGTTGGCTGGGATGGTGTGCTAGACAGGGACTTTGATACTGTATCATCCAGGGTCCGAACATGTGCTATAGGCCGTGGAGTTGTGGTGTCGGCATTAGTGGTGAACACCCCTCTTGTTTCACAGTGTGGTTAAGGCTCTGAACTGAGACTTTGGAGACCTTTGGGTTCAATTTCAGACTCTGCCACAGACTGCCTCTATGACCTTAAGCAAATCACTTAGGGCTTGATTCCCTCAAGGACGTTACACCGCTGAAAAATCAGGTGGCGTTGAGCCTGGATCTGCTATGACCCCTTGCCCGCCCTAACACGCCTGCTCCCTTCCCATGCAGTAGAAGAGGGATGCCAGTGCGGGAGGCATCACAGCTGCCTCCATCAGCTTTACGCTGGTGGAGAGTCCCCCTACAAAGGGAGAATTATCCAGGGGCTGCTTAATCTGGAGAACCCAGCCCTTAAGCTGTTTCCAGTATTATCCATGTACAATGGTTAATTCATCCCCCCCACCTTTGTCTGGCTTGTCTGTTTAGACTGTGAGCTCTTAAGGGCAGAGACTCTCTTACGGTGTCTTAGTAAAGTGCCCAACACAACGGTTCCCTGAACTCATTGGCTTCTCAGCACGCTCAGAATATTAAGAACAATAATAAAATCAGTATGAGGTGGCGAGAAACCCTTGGAAAGGAGATGGGGTGGGAGATTGGCCCTTGTGTCCCTCAGAACAGGTTGCTCCAGGCTTCCTCCCCACCTAGCCCCCTTGCAGAGAGAGCCCCAGATTCTTCAGCAGTCCTACCCAAGCCCACCTCTGCTCTATGTCTTGCCAAGGATTATTTTCTGTCACGATGTACACTGGACTGCCCTGTTGCTTTCTGTGCTCAGGGCATTTTGGAAGGGGGAGGACAGCTGGGTGAGTGGGACAGTGTGCAGATTCCTAGCTACTGAATAGGTTAGTCCAAGATCCCCTCTTTTTGAGATTCACTCCAAAAAGTGTCTGTGTGCGTGCGTGTGTGTGTATCACATTTTTGTGTTTAATACACTGAGCTAAATTCAGATATGAGTGGATGCAAATCCTGTTAAATAATTAGAGTGTCATCTGCTTACATCAGGGCTGCATTTAGCTGTATTTGAACCCAGCACACGCACTGGGGCCGGGGGGGGTGGGGGAGTTATTCAGCCAGTTTGAGGGAAGTCCTTGCAGGCAGATGTGTGCCTGAAGTCCTGACTCTTCATGGTTGTCATGGTTCTAGGTAAGGAAGCTGCAGAATGTCCTTGAAGCAGAAGTGGCAACAGAAGCAGATCAGAAAGTCAAGGGATCCAGTCAGATTAACCTGCAGTTAGGTTACCTCAGGTAAAAAGAGAAGAGAGCTATGGATGTGTGCATCTCTGCTGCTAATGCAACAGGCTCCAGCAACAAGTCTTGGTCCCACAGGATTCACCCATGAGCTGTAGAGCTGGCCTCTGATAAGACAGGGGCCTGTTATCAGACAGGTTACATTATTTAGTTGGTGTTGGTCCTGCTTTGAGCAGGGGGTTGGACTAGATGACCTCCTGAGGTCTCTTCCACTCTAATCTTCTATGATTCTATAATAAAGCTGGACTCTAATACTGGTCCAGACTCCATAGGATTCGTACCTATGTTATAGAGCTGGATTCCAGTGCCTCGTTTGTTATACTTTCCTACGATCTACCGTTTCTGATCTGAATCCCTCATGCAGACCTGAGCTGTGATATCTAGTTCTGTCTCACCAGGTTCAGACCTGAGTTGATGCAGAACTGAACTGCAGTTAACTACTCATGGTCCCAAGTAGTTCGTCACGACCGAGAATGCCATCCCTATTCCATTCCCCGGGATGGGGCTGAGCTGTAGCATCTGGTCCACGTTCTGGAGGACTTATGCAGAACTGAACTGCATAACCTACAGGGCTCATCCATGCTAACTAGCCCGCAACCCACTAGGGCTGGCTTCAAAATGAGCTAGGCTCATTCCCCGCCTCCCAAAGGGTTTGGTGCATGTAGAACTGTTTTGTAACAGGCGACCCATATGCCATGGTTCGTCGAACAGAACTACCTGCAGGGTAGCCATGGTTCCACTTGGTTAATATACTGCAGGGAGCAGCCGTGTATCCCTCCTGGACCGATCAGAGACTTGGACTGTGTTAAATCTGCGTATACACCACTGGGCTTGCTTGAAAGCCTAGAAGTAGAAGTAGTAACTGAAGGGCTCCAGGCCCTGATTCTAGGTTTTGCAGGGCTCTGTGCCAGGCCAACATCTATAACCTGAATAGCACACCTGGGGGGGGGACATTGGGCAGGGCAGGGAAGTACATTGCTAAGTGGCTGTGAGAGGGTTTTGGCACCAGGGACAGAGGAGTTGCGGGGGAAGTAGGGTGACCAGATGTCTCGATTTTTAAAGGGACAGTCCCGATTTTTGGGTCTTTTTCTTATATAGGCTCCTATTACCCCCCACCCTGTCCTGATTTTTCACATTTGCTGTCTGGCCATCCTAGGGGGAAGGGGTTTGCCATTACTGGGTGGGAGGGAATGTCAAGATCCAGCTGGTTTGGGGAGTGGATTGTTCACCAGGTCATTTTTCAAGAGGGAGTGAGGGAAACACTGGGCTGTTATGCTGGAGGGGAGGGGTTCCTAGGAGAATGCTGGGAAGGGGAAGCGAGTCTAACAGTGCAAGACCTCGCCCCTCCTCGCCTCTCCTCAAAGCAGAGGGACCCCTGCAGCTGGTCTTCGCATGTGCCTCAGGCTGGCTCTACGTTCCCACCTCACCCACATCAGAGAAGCTGGACAGAGCCGTAAGAACGGCTGCATTCCTTGTATGGACTGTGTGTTGCTATGTGGTTTGATTTTAATCCGGCCCTAAACCACAGAGTTACCTCCCAGCAACCATGGCAGGGGCCAAATTCAGCCCTAGGCTAAACAGGCTGACTTCAGGGGAGCTGCATTTGGCACAGCGGAGGGTGAGCACCTGCCCGTGCTGGGTGGGTGCTGGTCCCTGTCTCCGTGCTCCAAGCCCCATGGCAGCACCTCTGCTCAGCAAATGACCCTTTCTGTTGTTGGCTCTGTGGTCCAGATCGACAGTGCACGACATAGAGAAAGAGCTGCAGGAGCTGAGGGAGCAGCAGGATCACGGCAAAGCCAAGCTGGAGCAGTCGGTGACTGACACAGCCCTCTACCTGCAGGAACAGGTCAGGTGGTTTGAGGCGAGAGGACGGGCTGCTCACTGGCTTGCTGTGAAACAGCTGCCCTTTGGGGTTGGCGCAGTGGTAACTCTGAGTATCTCTGCTTGCCCAGTTCCCCTGTGATGTCGGACAATTGCTCAATACAAAGGTCTCCAGATTTCCTCCTCTTGAAGCCAGTGCTCTAGCCTTGTGGAGTGGATCGAAGCTGTTAGCTGGGCTCCAAAGGGCCTCTTGCCTCACTAACTGCTGCCTCCCTCCCTGGATCTTGCAGGGGAAGGAAGGGGCATTTGAGCTCAGCAGAACGCTCCCTCCAGATCCGGGGAAGCATTTTTCATCGGTGTAGGACAAGGGTGGGCAAACTATGGCCCATGTGCCAGATACGGCCCACCAGCCATTTTAATCCAGCCCTCGAACTCCTGCTGGGGAGCAGGGTCTGGGGCCACTCCACACGGCTCCCGGAAGCAGCAGCATGTCCCCCCACCGTCTCCTATGCGTAGGGGCAGCCAGGGTTCTCCACTCTGCACACTGCCCCCGCCCCGAGCACCGCCCCCGCAGCTCCCATTGGCTGGGAACCACAGCCAATGGGAACTGCAGGGGCGGTGCCTGTGGACGGGGCAGCGTGCAGAACCGCCTGGCCGCACCTCCACATAGGAGCTGGAGAAGGGACATGCTGCTGCTTCCGGGAGCCGCTTGAGGTAAGCGCCGCCCAGAACCTGCACCCCGATCCTCTCCCCACGCCCCAACCCTGATCCCCCTCCTTCCCTCTGAACCCCTCGATCCCAGCCTGGAGCATCCTCCTACACCCCAAACTCCTCACCCCCAGATGGAGCCCTCACCCCCCCTCCGCACCCCACTCCCTCCGCTCCAGCCCAGAGCCCCCTCCTGCACCCTGAATTCCTCTTTTCTGGCCCCACCCCGGAGCCTGCACCCCTCAACCAGAGCCCTCACCCCCTCCTGCAACCCAACCCCAATTTTGTGAGCATTCATGGCTCGCCATACAATTGCTGTTCCCAGATGTGGCCCTTGGGCCAAAACGTTTGCCCACCCCGGTGTAGGAGACGACAGCACTGGGTAGTGTCCCAAGGAGGTTCTTATCCACAGGCTGTTGCCTCCCGGAATGCAGCAGGGTTTGTTAAAGCTCACCGTAGGCTAAAGCGTTGCTCTGCTATCTGAGGGGAAGCAGAGTAGAGACATGGCTGTTTCTTAGCTTGTCCTGGTGGCAATTCAGTGGGCTGCCTTATGCAGCCGAGCCAGACCAACTCCTTGGTCTGGTAGCAATAAGATGCTTTGCTCAGGTACCAGCCAGTACATCTTCTGCAATACTTCTAGAGCTCCACTCCGTGCCGACTGGCCCAAGATAGGAACCTTAATGATAGACTCCAAGGCAGTTAGGTCTAGCCTCTAGGGGGAGCACTGCTTCAGCAGCTGCTACCTGGAGAAGGTAGCCTAGGGCCCATCCATGCATGGGCAAATCCTTGGAGTCTTGGCCAGAATGTATTGCCTCGGGCATTGCTAATATCCCTGCTGGCCAGCAGCAATGGGGTGCCGGAGATACCTCTCTGATAGAGCTCAGCACCTGTCGCCCGGGTGCCTTAGCATGCAGAGAAATTCTGCTGGGCGGTGCCTGTTTCAAACCCAACTCCTTCTCTCCCCTGCCTACAGTTAGACAAGCTTAGATCTATCATAGAGAACATGATGGCCTCCTCCTCCACCTTGCTATCCATGAGCATGCCCACTAGCCCGGAGCCTGGGGAGGCAGCGCCGCATGGCACATGCCCGGCCTGCAGCCTAGACGTCAGCGAGCAGGTTAGCCAGTTGTTCAAACGCTACGAACAGCTGCAGGATTTAATTAGCAGCTTCATGACGAGGCACGCGGAAAGCAAGCCAGCAAAGAGGCCGCAGCTGAGGAGCCAGGTAAGGCCAGCCAAAAGGAAACACCCTGCTTTATTGTCCAGCCTTCCAGGCTAAAGCTGTGAACGTAACGAAGTACCTGGGGGGAGCGAGGGATGGAGGATTTCAGTGGCCCTGTGAGGGGATGGTTCAGACTGGATCCTTTGGGATCTGGGTCCACAGCCCAGTGCAGCAGAGAGTCGGAGCAGCAGGCGGCAGCCCAGGGCATGCTGATTGCTCCTAATGCAGAGCCCACGGGAAGAGCTGCCCACGGGAAGAGCTGCCCACGGGAGTCATGTGACTGTGACCAATTCAGCCCCTCTGCGCTGCGCGCCACGCAGGAGCAGATCGCTGCCGGCTCCCTGGGAAGCCCATCGTTGTTCTGGCTCCTCGTTTAGCCTTGGTTTACACCTGCTGGCTGGCCTGGGGGGTGGGTGCCCTGACCCCTCATCTCCAGGCCTGGTCTCAAATCCTGATTTTAGGGGTCACATGTCAGAGTGAGTTTTGTGTGTCTTCCCACTGCCTAGTGGGCTCATCCCAGCCCTACAAAGCCATCCCAGCGTTCAGCATGGCTCGTGGTTTCTGCTCTAGAGAAGCTGCAAACTGGAATAGCAGGGGTGGTGGGACTGAGGCACATTGGCAGAGCTGTGTGAAGTCCCAGGACTGCAGTAGGTGGGGGTGCAGGTCAGGGCTTGGGTGCATGGCCAGAGCTGTGTGAACGGTATGCCCTCGGGGCTGGCATAGCAGGGGGTGCTGCAGGTTGGGGTTGAGGTGCCTTGGTAGAGCTGTGTGTGGGATTCCAAGACCGGATTAGCAGAGTGTGCTGCAGGTTATGATTAGCAGAGCTCTACGTGGGATGCAGCTTGCTCATTACCTGCTGTCCTGTGCCAGGCTGAGGGCAACGCAGTCACTTTCTTCCGGTAGCACTCAGCTTCACCAAAATGGCGAAGAAGAAGAGGCGGTGGGGATTTGAACAGGGATAATGGCGTAGCAGTTTGAGTCCAGTGCAAATCACAAGGGTTCCATTCCTCCATTTGCTCTGCGGTCTGTAGCCCTAGCTTTGCGCAGGTTCCCACACGTTGCACAGTTCTATGTGCAACTTGCAAGCCAGACAGTCCAGCCCACCTCTCTCCCTCCCCTTCCAACCGTGCACCCGTGTCATAAAGGGACTATCCTGTCCCTGGTTTGACGCCGTTCAGATCAGCACTTGTCCAGAGCAGAGCTGGAAGAAGACCCTAGTTCGTGACCGAATGGGGAATTGGGCTCCACGTGACCCCGTGTTGCATTAGTAAATCCCACAGAATATCTGCTATTAATGATGAACCTGAGATTAGAGAGGAGAACGAGGCCAGCCCAGTCCTTGTGTGGATGTGGGTGGCACAGTTACGTTCCTGCTGCTCTTGGTGTCTGATCTCTTGTGTGGGACAATGTAGTGGCCTTATGACACTGATACCATAACATTCTTCACTGTGTCAGAGCCCCATTGTGATGAACTGATGCAATGTTATGATCTATCTAGAGTTTTGGCACATAACCTCTCCATGCCTTGGTTTCCTGTTTGGTAAAATGGGGACAAAAATACTTATTTCTTGGGGCTGGGGGTTGTGAGCCTTACTTGCTCAACGTATGGGAAATGTTTTGGGAGATGAAAAGTTCGTGGTCGTATTTCAGCAGTCATTTTCTAGCTGATCTGAATGGCAGGGTATGGCGGCGCCTTCACCTAGCTGAGCCGGGGCCCAGGAGATGCTGGAATGATTCCTAGGGTCAACTGCAGCTTCTCTTTCATGTTAAAAGTCACAGTAGCTAATCGTGTCTGCAAAAGTGGGCACAGGCTCCTTTTGCACAAACGGATCTGAGACTAGGGCACAAGTGCTGGCTTTGCATGTCTGGAGTATGCGCCCTCTTTTGGAAGCAGAGTCTGCAAAAACAATAACCAGCGCTCGGCATGTTGTAAATATCACTCCTAAAAGGAAAGCTCAGGGAATCATACTTAGCCAGTTCCAGTACAACCCGTGGGTTCTGGCACAGAACTCTAGGCCCTCGACTGCCACTGGGAACGACTTTTTATCTGGACTGTGTCCAGCAGGAAGGGATGTGTCCTGGATACCCCATATATCATTCTGCCCGAGGGGGACTGGGGATTGAGTTCTCTATGGAGCCTGTCACCTTGAGGTCACTCATTCGAATTGACTAGTAGTGGCTGAAAATCTTTGCCATGGATGCCATATAAGTGACTTGTTCAGTGGCCTGTGTGACGCATGCTGTTAATCCAGATCTCCATGTGCAAGTGAGCCAGTGTCCGTGTCACCAAAAGCACATCCACGGCTGGCAGCCTCAGAAGTGAAGCCAAGCACTGGCTGGGCCCTGGAGAACTGCTCTCCCAGCGGTAGCGGAGAGCCCTCCACGTGAGGGATGAGGCGTCCTACCTCTTGCCCGTGCCAGGCCTGCTCTGTGGTTCGAAGGCTTTGTGTCTGTCAGTAATTATCTGCAACAGAGCTTCACTTTCTCCTCCATTGCCTTTGAATCAGGACGAAGAGCTGCTGAGTCGCATCCAAAACACCATCCTCCAGGTGCAAGGAGACTGTGAGAATCTCAATGCCACCACAGGGAACCTCGTAGAAGACCATCGGCAGAAGCAGAAAGATATCTCTGTAAGTGACGGCAGGGGGCCTGGCTAGAGGATAAGGTGCTGCCTGTACTCACCAAGGGTTTGGGTTGCTTGGTAATCAGGGATGCTCTTAGCACTATGCATCCTCATCGTGATCGCTCGTTAGCAAGGAAAACAAAGGGACGGGCAGAGGAGACAAAGGATCCTCTCTCCTGCCCTGGGAGAACCCAACTCATCTGAGGCTCTACATAGCACAGAGGATAGGTAGGTGGCTCTGGACTTGTTAGCCCCTGAGCCCCTCTCTCCTAGTCCAACATCAAGCACTGCAGGAGACTGAGTCATGCCACTGAGTTGCCTGTTATGATACACCGGGGATTTGCTGAGGCTGTCATCAGAGACTGACCCCAGAAATATAACACCCACCACAGGCATTAAAACACGAGGGGCCTGACGCCCAGTGAGTCTCTGGTAGGTGAGCGTCCTCTTGAGAGAGAGGAGATCTGGAGAGGGGATCAAAGGGCAGACAGGGAATATCACATGGACAGCCCTCCTGTCTGCAGGTTCTTACACTGACTAGGCCCAGATGTGCTTCCTTCACCACCCTGCTATTGTGTTTAGTGATGACTCAAGATATCTGAGCCCCAAGAGGCCTCAGGCTACTAGGGAGCACGTGCAGGTGCTGCTGGTGGTCTGGGTAATGACAAGGACTGTGCAGTAATCTCAGCCTCCCCGTTCTCTGACTGGTTTTCATCTCCGCCTCTTCTGTGTTCTGTAAAGCTTCTCTTCCAGTCACTGGAGAAGTTGGAAAAGGAGAAAGCAGACAAGGAGCATCTGGAGACAGAAATTGACGTGGTAAGGGGGTGTGCAGCACTGCTTGGGTGGGACAGACGCACGTGGTTTCTTTCACAGGCACAGGAGATGTACGTTTAGGCTCTCTATTCAGTGGGAGGTGGTGTGGTCCCCTGGCTAGGATCCCAGGCTGGAGATCTGGGATCTGTTCCTGGCTCTTCTGTGTGGGACTTGGGCAAGTCCCTTCGCCTCTCTGTGACTCTTTTAAATGGGGCTAGTGACACCCACCTTGTAAATTGCTGTGAGATCTACTGATGAAAGGTGCTAGCCATGATTACTTAGCATTTTACATCCTCTAAATGCAACTTTAAGGAGACTCTCCCTGTCACGCACACGCTGTGACACTTACAATACCTACGCAGAAGCCGGAATTGCCAGTGGTGGCCCCTTATTTTGGCGCCTCACCTGCTCAGTGTCTGAATGAGACATCTTGAGCTTTCAGAGGTGCTGAGTACTTGCAGCTCCAGTTGCAGGTACTCCTGACCATACCAGAGTACGCAAGAGGAGGGTCCATGCTAGAGTCCTCCTGGGGTATCGGTGAGGAGCCGACCCAGGCCAGCCATCTGACATGCTGTGGCAGCATCTGCTTTGATGAGGAAGGGCCTGATCTAAGTGGGCAAAGGGGAGCGGGGAGAAAGAAAATGGATAGAGTTGGAGGATGGAGCCCTTACTCAGAGCACCGGAGCCTTGATTGTGAAGGGAGGGAGGTGTCTCTTTCTGGGGAGTAGAGAGGGGGAGCTGTAGGCTCACGTGGGGCCCTGTGGAACGGGAATGTCTCTCTTGTGCCCCAGATCAAGCTGAGGTTCTTCCTCCCTCCGCCTCCTCCCAATCACTCTCCTGTCTCCCCCTGGCCAGAAAGCAGACAAGATCGCCCTGGCTGGCAAAGTCAGCCGCACCCAGTTTGATGCCACCACGGAGCAGCTGAATAAGATGGTGCAGGATCTGGTGAACAAGATGAGCGGGCAGGAGCAGGACTGGCACAAAGTGCTCGACAAAATCTTGGTGGAGATGGACTCCAAGGTAAGCTGGAGCCAGTCCCTTCTGCATGACTCACAGCCCCACCCAGTGCATTAGCCAGCGGCCAGCCACAGGAAGGGCAAATGGGGGAAGGGACTTGGCCCAGTTTATAGCAGGACGGGATGAGGAGCTTGGTCCATTCTAAACACTGTAAACAGCAACAGAGAGTCCTGTGGCACCTTATAGACGAACAGATGTATTGGAGCATGAGCTTTCGTGGGTGAATACCCACTTTGTCAGACACATGCTCCAATACGTCTGTTCGTCTATAAGGTGCCACAGGACTCTCTGTTGCTGTTTATAGATCCAGACTAACACGGCTACCCCTCTGATTCTAAACATTGTATCTGCTATAACTGCTGGGGTTTTCATGCAGGGCCTGGGTCCTATTCTCCCTAGGGCCCCTTTATATTACTCTGGGGCCTTCAAGTGAGCAAAAGTTACGCGTGAGGCCCTTTCACGCTGCCAGACCACTGCAAAGGGGCCGTGGTGTACATGGGAACCCGGCCAGCAGTGTTTTATTTTTAATTCTCATTTCCTTCTGCCTCCTGTAATGGATCCAGCCCTGAGTCCAGGAGCAAGGGGACTTTGTCGTGCATGCTCGGAGTGCTCAGGGAACAGATTGCCATGTTTCACACACCAAGCCAGATCTGGGACCCCGGCCGGGCAGGGCCAGATCTCATCCAGCTGCTGCTGGCCTCACAGAGGGTGCAGGGGATGTGACCCAAGGTGTCCTGCCTCCTATGCATTTAGCCCTTAAACCAGGAGCTCCTTGGGGCAGGGATTCTGTGATCATGCTGAGCATGCTGGTGCTAAACCAGGCATGACTTTTTGTTTTCCTCTCTTCCTATTTTGCATTCTGCGTTCCCCAGCACTGACCAATGTATCCTCTGTGACAGAATGACAGTTCCCTGCAATATCCTCAGTGAACTTCATTGAATTAAGTTAATTCCTTTGGGGTCCATCGTATTAAAAACGCTGTTGTGTGTGTGTTGTGGTGGGATTGTATGTATTTCCATGGGAAAGGTAAATAGGAGACCAGCAGTGAGTGATTAGGCAAATTCACTCAGGTTGTAACATCCCCAGAGAAACCACCCCCCTGGTCAGGCTGCTGTGTTCTAGTTCAAACTCCAGGGATCTACAGACAAAGAAAGGGATTTTGGGTAAATAGCCTGATTTTAAACTGGCTCAGGGCCTTCTTCCTGATCCAGCCAATGGACAGGACCCCTGGTCCACGGAGGGCCCCAGTCATTAGGGGAGGGTTGGAAGGCCTGGGCCTACTGAGGCCCCATAAGACTGGGTGCTTGTTCTGAGCTGAAGCTGTGAACTTGAAACCACAAGGCAGCCCCTTGGTGGGGGTTTGAAGGACTGCTCCTGCCTGAGCCCATGTTAGGGTTGGGGTGATCTCTGGTAGGCTTATTAGTGTGTGTGGAGGTTCTTCGTTTTTAACATGTTTTCTCTGTAATGCTTTTTACCTCAAGAATGAAAGAGACTTGCATAGAATGAACTGTGTGGTACTCATAACCGGAGCAATTACACCTGTTAGCCAAACCATCTCCGAAAAGAAAGCAAGCGGGTGCCCTGGGGCAACCTGTCTGTGCTGGGAAATAAACAGTGAAGGCAGGGAACTGTGCAGTCTGGAAATACCCTGGTCAGAAGGGAATGAGAGGTGGGAGAAGCAACAGCTGGGGAGCTGGAAGCCAGAGAGCAGGTGCCCTGGCTGGGCCAGTGAGTGGAATTACAGGTGTAGTTGCCCTGAATTGTGACACCCCCTGACTATGGGCTGAGCAGAATTGCCCACCTTGTTTGATGTGCTGCCTGTGTGGTTCTAGTGGTGCCCTGCTGCTGTCCCATCACTTAGAGATGATCTGTGGACATTCGGTTGGTCTAGGAACCTTAGGAGGTAAAGATGGAAAGGCCCCACTCAGTGTTAGATCACTCCCAGCAATCCAAGATGGTTCTCTGCAGTACATTTCCTAACACTTCCTGCCATCTTATTCCAAATGACCCAAGTGATGGAGCTTCCACCACTTTTCTTGAGAGACTGTTCCAATCTGAATAGCAGGGGAAACTTCCCAGGGTGAGATGGGACAGCCTATGATTTCCTTTGCCTAGCTTCATCCCACAGCTCCTGCTTCTACCTCCATGTCTCCCTTTAGGAAGCATCTCTCTTCTCCGGGGTGTTCACTGCCTTTGAACCCATTGGTGAGCCATTTGTACACACGCATACAAATGCGCACACAGCTTTTACGAACTGTGCGTTGCCTTGCAGCTGGACCGCCTGGAATTAGATCCCTTCAGACAGCAGCTGGAAGAGCGTTGGAAAGCCATCCGGAAACAGCTGAAGGAGAGCTCTCCGCAGTACGAAGCGGACGATGCTGCTGGAATTAGGAAGTAAGCACATCCGGAGATGGACAGCTACAGCTTTAGGGAAACACATTAGACTAAGGGATTGGTCTCTCTGATTTCCTGGGATAACCTCAGCCAGGTTGACTTCTCTTGGGGCTTATCTACTTACAGAAGTTCTACCACTTTAACCATGCCAGGATAGTTAAAGCACTGCAATCCCCTAGTGTGGATGTAATTATACCAGTATAAATATGCTTAGATCAGTACAGCTGCTCCCTGCAGGAAGGGGAATAACTATAAGGCAACTTTATCCTGGTATAACTGCATCCACACTAGAGCTTGTACTATAACACAGTCGATTTAAAAAAAAAAAATCACCCTCCTAGACAACATAGCTATACTGGTATAAAAGATGTGTGCAGACCTGGCTTTAGGATTTTTCTAGTGCTCGCCTATTCAAATACTATTGCAACTTTCCTGACTTAAAGGTGTTTCCAGCTTCTTTGCTCCTGTCGTTCTGTTGCAGGCAGAAGCTCAGTTGCAGAACAGGGAGGCTGTTAACAATGAAGACGGAGATTTTCAAAGCTGCCTAAGGGATTGGAAATGAACAGGCATCTAAATCCCTTACACAGGTTTGAAAAATCCTGTCTTAAAACCTAAGAGCTGGTAGCTCTTGAAGTGCGCTAGGGACTTCAGTGTTGCTACTGATTTTATGTGGAAGGCCATCAGATACTGTGGTGGTGGGCAGCAGTACAAAGCCCTTATATAAGAGAGATCGCTGCCTCTTCAGACAGAGCCATTTGGAGGAATATGTGAGGGCCGGTGTATGGTTCAGTGATTACAGCGGGAGATTGGGACTCATGACTTTTATTCCTAGCTCTGGCCAGATTCATTGTGTCTTCTGGGGAAGCCCCTTACTGCCTCTTTCTGCCTCAGTTTACTCATGTGTCATATCTACTTAAGAACTTCACAGGGGTTTACTCCTCAAGCGGTGTCAACATTCACAAAGTGCTTGGCGATCCTAGGATGAAAGAAGTGAAGTGAAACTTTCCCATGGGTTTTACCAACACAGTGAATTGCCACCAGTTGTGAGTTGTCCCCTATGTAGGGCCACTAGAGGGCATCCGTGCTCAGTGTGTAGGTCCAATGCACGGGCCCACACACTGCAGGGGCTGCCAGAGAAATGAAACCTGGGGGGTCCTGTTGCACCCTGTTAGCCAGATGACACAATAACAGTTTTGTATGGCCCACGTGTTCTGTAAGATACAGACAGGGTCTGACATCCAGATTCCACTTCCCAGCCCACACATGTACTTGTGTGCTCTCTCCTTTATTGAACCTAACATCAGATCCACTGGGAGGGGTGGAAAATAAAAGCAAACTCTGATAAGATGAGTCAGGTTTTCCCCCAGCATCAGGCAACCTCTCGGGGGAAGACAGGGGTGCCTATGTGGTTGATTTCAGTTTTGCCTGTAGGGTGATCTTTACATAAATGGGCAGGTTCAGAGCCGCCATGCAGTCCCTGCAAAAGAGATTGCGCTTTCATGTCAACTCAGGACAGGTTGCTGATTCATGACCCTATCCTTGCATTATTAATGTTACGAGTGATTAGGAGCAGGATTGTTCTGGAGTTTGGGGTTCTTAGCTACCTGCTCTCTGAAAGTGCAGATCTGGGTCCCAGTTCTGTGCCCTCTTCCCCCCACAGCATTAATAGGGTTGCCTAAGGTTTATGTGGGTGCTGAATTCCACCCCTTCATCACAGTTCTGTGCCAAGTTACATGTGCTTTTAAGCAAATTTTTCCTGGTGTGTTTAGTGCTGATAGAACTGCAGACTGGGTGTAGTGTGTAAAAGACCAGTGTGTATGATAAGTGTGGACGTGGGTGTAAATTTCGTATCCATTGATACATGTGTGACACCCAGTGCCTGGTGTGTAAAATGATTTCATAGCATTTACAGGTGCAAGGTTTATGTGTACGACAAAACTTAATCACGCTGGCAATGACAGCTAGTGGTTAGCGCAGGAGAGTTGGCGTCAAGGTCGCTGAGCCTGCCTCTGATTTGCGAGGTGACCTCGGACAAGTCACTTCCCCACCTGTGCACTGAGGATAATGACATTGGCCCACCTCACAGGGGGTGTGGAAGGAGTTAATGTGTCACTTTGCCCTTGGTGTTTATTATTTGTGTTACTGTATCGCCTCCGAGGCCTAGTTGACCCCAGGGTGCTAGGCACTGTACAAACACAGCACAAAAAGTGTCCCTGCCCCAAAGTGTTCACAAGCCAAGTATAGCCCCTTTCATCTTAGTAACTCTGAGTATTATTATCATTATATATTACAAATAACTGGCCAGATCCTCAGCTGGTGTAGGTAGTTCCATTGAAGTCACTGGAGCTGTGCTCATTCACACTAGCTGTGCGTCTGGCCCAATTCATAGAAATACCGACGTAGTTACTTGAATAAAATTAGTTCCCTGGCCAGTGTATTGCTGATATGGTCACCCAATGGAGCTATAGAAATATTTCATGTCCCAGGTCACCGTTCTTAGCGCCCTCTGTGGCTCCTCGGTGGTCCTCTAGGCTTGGGGCTCTGTAACTTCTTATTCAGTCCTATTGTCCTTAGCACAGAGCCAAAGAAACCGTTTGCCTCTGGGCCCAAGCCTGTAATGATTCCCATGTCTGGTTTCATCCCAACAGAAGACTGATGGCTCATTTCCACTGCATTTCCTGCGACAGGCCTCTGGAAATGGTGGTGCCCGGCCCGTAAGTACTGGACTGTGTTTCCTGAGCGCATGGATGCAAATGTTTTATTGGCGTAAACGTGGCTCTGCAGAGTGCTGCGGCCTTTTACAGGTGGGGCTGGTGGGCAGCCGCTGCTCATGGTCTCTTGAGTTCAGCGACATGGATTAAGTGACATGAGGAAAGAAATAGGGTGGGGGAAGAGGGGCAGTGATGTATTTTCCCCATGTTCGGGAGGGAAACAACATGCCTCCCCCCACATCCACGTACACCGTTTTCACACTGCTGTGCCCCTGTGCGCCTTAGCATGGTGATTCAAACACTGGTGACATGTCCCCGAGGTGGGTTCGGAAGCTGCTTTTTGGGGGCACCCCTCAAATTCCCTATTGGATCTTAAGCAAGTTTCTAACCCTTATGGTGCAGAAACCCTCCCAAATGCGACTAGCTGCAGTAATTAGGTTCATTGGCTACAGCTCACAGGAACCACCTTACCAGATCAAACCAACGGGGTCACAGGACACAAAAGGGGGCGGTTCGGGTGCCAGGGGTAAACCCCTTGCTCCAGTGGTGTGAGCATAGAGCTGGAAGCCAGAACTTCCTGTGTTGTTATCCCAGCACTGCCACTGGTCGAGCTGGTTGGCTATTTTCCAGGGGAACATTTTTCCATCAGAAAATGCCAATTCTTGGACAGTGAAACATAGATGCTGACAAAAAATCTGTTTGAAAAAGCCCCTGATACAAAGCGTTCCGATGATGTCGGAGCATTCCATGGCGACAGTTTCAGAAGGGACCGTTTTGGTTTTGAAATTTCTTTTATATTACAAAGGGATACAAATTTAAAACCCCCAAATCAGAACAAAAAATGGAATTTTGTTTTGCCGGTGTTTTCTAATCTCTTCTGCCCCCCCCCCCCACCCGTTTTGGAACAGAAAAAAATGTTTCATTGTGTGGAATTTCACACAAAATGGAAAAACTGGGTCCCGTCCAGCTCTGCCACTGACTCTGTATGTGGTCTTCGGCAAGTCATTTAATCTCTCCATGTTCTTGGCTGTAAAATGGGGGATAATAATATTTTATTGACCTCTTAGGAGGCTAATAAATCAATGACTGTGCAGAGCTTTGTCCACAGAAAGTGCTACAAAGGGAGGATTATAAAGTAACCGTTTTCAGGAGCTCATCCTCCCCTGACCCTTTCTGTCAGACACTCGCTGTGTCGTGCTATCTCCAATCCCCTGTGCTAGGAATGAATGCTTCATAGCACTGCAAACTTGGAAGAGCCGTGATCAAATGAGATAAAGCCTTAATCTCTTTATCTCGGGCATATCAGCTGCTAGAATCTGATTGACACTGAAGTGGGAAAGCAAGGACAGTCACCAGAATAGTGACAGGTTTCAGAGTATAAACTTCAGATGCAATTGGCCCGATATTACGTATTCCATTCCTGCGCTGTGGCCGGGGGTGGTGAGGTGAGGAAGGAGGCAGGGGGCAAAGATAAATTTAAATTCCTTTTGCATTCCCCACATTCTGGAGCCTTGCACAGTCCTGCCCAGCCCCCAGTGTAAATTAGAGCAGCCTAAGAGCTGCTCTAACTTAAGCTCTTTTTCCCATGGTCCCTAGGAAGTAGAGAATAGCTTTAGTGCAGTGCACTCTGGCCATGCCCCCAACGTGACCCTGACCCCACCCCGTGCCGGGGCTGGCATGGAGCCCCAAGCCCAGCGCTTCACTGGTCAGGGAGGCCCCTTGCCCAAGAGAGTTTCTCAGGGGCCATTTCTGCCTACTTTCCGACCCCTTTACGCTGCCAGAGGGGCATGAAGGTGTTACTGCAGGGATTAGAGTCTCTCTGGTGCTGACCCCATCCATGCTTTAGGGCCCAGTAAACTTCTCCTAGCGCTGGCCCTGGAGCAGCAAAGGGAGAGGTCGATTCAATCCATGATTCGTTCTCCAGGCTTCGTGTACGCCTCCTTCTGGACGGCAGCTACAGCGCCAGGTGACCATGCTCCATGTACAAATGAGGGGCTGAGATCTCCCTCCGGGGACATGTGGCAAACCCCAGACATGCCAGGCAGTGGATTTAATAACTAGGGATGTTTGGATTTTCTCCTCTTCTTCCCCTGACCCCTTTGCTTATTGACTCGCCAGGACCATCATGACCGTCCCCTCCGTGCCGGGGTTACCATCCCACCGCTCCATCCGGCCCTACACCGTTTACGAACTGGAGCAAGTCAGGCAGCACACCCGCAGGTACGGTGCATGCGGGAGGGAGGGGCCTTTACTCCTAGTGTTGGGCTTCACGTGTGGGTGGGGACCAGAGAACGGGGGTTGAGGGGGAAGAGCTCTCCATCTCCACTGGGAGTGGTGGCAGCGCAGAGGTTCCTCTGCTAGCAGAAGCTTCTGGTGTTGACTGGGCTGGAGCAACAACTGCAGCTTGGACCAGCCAGCCAGGCGGGGCCTTCCCAGGCCTGCCCTCTATTTCCAGCTGTCTTGGAATTAGCGGAGTGGGGACGGTTCCTCCCAACCCCCTTTCCTCAGTGTGGCAGCTGAAGGCATCACCCTACTGCAGGCCTGCTCTTCCTAGCAGAGGGCTGACTGCCTTCTCCTAGGGAGACTGGCCACTCTCCTGTCCTGGGTTTCGATGCACTGAAGCCTTGTACTGCTGCGGTTTGCTAGTTAAGTGAATGCAGCTTCCTTTCGCTCCAAGCCCAGAGCTGGAATCCATACACCTGCCGGGTCATCGAGAGGGGGAGGGGAATTTATCCATGCTGTTGTGAATTGGATAGGGGCCAGTGCTGCTCTCAGGGACACCTATGTGTTATGTCCCAGATTACAAATCAAGGCACTGAGATGAGGTACCTAAGTGCCTGCACAGCAGTCATTGAACTCCCAAGGTCCTGCCCCAGCACAGGCTGGGCTCAGTGTAAACTCTGGGATGGGTTCTCTAGGGACCGCTGCTTTGGTTGTTCGAAAGTCCTGGTCAGGGGATGTCCCTAGGATCTTACATGGAGCAACCCCATTGATCTCCTTGGGGGTTGCACTGGTGTCAGTGAGAGCAGACTTTGGCCATGCAGACATTTGCAAGGAGTTAACTGACCCTTTCTCCCCTCGGCCTCACAACCCTGCACAATAAAACCTTTGTAAATCCTCCAGCTGTGACGATAGCAGGTTGTGGGCATGAGCACAGCTCCAAACTCGCTGCTGGGTGATGCCCAGCCCCACGTCACACGAACAGGGAAACCCAAAACTCTCCTGTGGCAGAAAGAACGAATCGCTTCAGCCAGTGTGCAATGAGTTTTGCGGGATCTCAGCCCCGTGGAATGAATCCACAGGAGAGAACCCCGCACAAGTGGCCCCGTTTGGTTGACATCTCCTCGGGGAGGTAAAGGGCTGAGTAAGTCCTGAAGAGTGAAATACCTTCTCAGATCCGAGGGGTCGCGGCTGCATAGGGCTGAGGCTTATCTGCATGAGGGAAGCCTGCTCTGCTGCTAACACTGCTTTGCAGATGACTAGAGGACTTCAGTCTCCAGTGCTGTCGGGGTGGGGTTTCAGCCACCTTTCTCAGGACTCAAATGGGCTGGTACAGCCCGGCTCACCTGTCCTCGGGGTCCTCATCCAACTCCCCAAACAGTGTAATGGCCCGATCCTGCCGCCCTTCTGCATGTGAGCAGCCCCCGTTCGAGCCCACGGGACTAGTCGTGTGAGCAAGGCTGGGGGATTAGCTCTAACCGCGTCCCAGCCCTGGGTAACCGTATGACTTTTCCTTTCCTTTCCCCTCTCTGAATGCATCTCCTCCTCCGCCCCAGTCTGAAGTTAGGGCTTAGGCCCTTCCCTCGCTTGGATGCGCTCCAGCTGGAGAAGAGCGCGGGCCTTGGCAAGCTGCGCAGCATCCACTCCAAGATGCTCATGGACATAGAGAAGGTGCAGATCCACTTTGGGGGCTCGGCGAAGGCCAGCAGTCAGATGATCAGGGAGATAATGCAGTCGCAGTGTCTCAGCCCAAGCCAGTATAACAAACGGTAGGAGAGCAGGTCTGAGCAGTGAGTATATAGCCAGAGAGATGGGGGGAGGGGAGCTCTTATCCCTGCCCACACGGAGAGCTCAGCTCGGGCACATACGCATTCACCACAGGGATTGCGGATAGGGCAACCTGATACCTGCTGCGAACAGAGCCAGGAGAGCCTCAGGTCTGGGCAGTCATCAGCCCGGCCCCAGTCATTACACAATATAGAGCCTGAGCCCGTGGAGGGGCAGCTGGGAGGGACTCACCCTCTTTCCTGGCTAGTTGAGCACGGCTGGACGTATCTCACTTCCCTTGGTGGAGTGTCTTGACCTTTCTGTAGCGCTGCTCTCAGATACAGACAAGCTGTGCTCTGTACCCGCCGAGGAAGATCTCTCCCCGCAGGCCGTCCCGAGGAGAGGGTACCACACTGCAGGAGAGTCCTAGGGCAGAATAGGGTTAGCTATTCAGCAAAGCAGGATTATGTGACCAGCCAGGGGTCAGGCCCTCTTTGGCATCGTAGGCACACAGGACTTGCCCTAGTGGATCAGACCAATGGTCCAGCTAGTCCAGTATCTTGTCTCCAGCTGTGGCAAGTACCGGATGCTCCAAAAGAAATTGCAAGAACCCTCCAGTGGACTGCTATAGGGACAGTTCCTTCCTAAGTAATCCTGAACGGGTAGCAGTTGGCTTCTGCCCCTGAAGCAGGACCGTGGATATCTCTTATAGACTTTTATCCTAGGTGACGTGCATACTAATCATGGTACAAACGGGGTCCAGTCTGATCCTAGGGGATAGCATGTGAGGTGGAAGTTGATAGATAAATAAATAAAGCATGGGAAGGGGGGCGTAGAAACTGCCCCTCGTAGTCAAACTGGCCTTTAGACACCAGAAGAGTTTGAGGGGGGGAATATTTGTTTGGCTCCAGTTGTGATGAAGCCTGTTCTGGATCTGTTGTCATGGCAGCTACTCACATGGATCTTCCTCTTGTGAGAGATCATTAGACCCACGCTACGGCAGACAGCCCCTGTCTAATGGGATGCACCACAGGGCAGGCACACCTCAGTTACCATCAGTAAGGCGGGCCTCAGACTCCAGCCTCCTCTGCTGCTGGGCCCCTGGATTTGTGTGTCTCTCACGTCCTTTGGGGTTTGCCATGTGGTATGCGCTTTCAACCCAGATTGGGGACTGAGCCTGGGCCTGTGAGCTGAGGGTGTCCCCAGGCTGCGCCCCGCTCTGCACATCGCTCTGTGGGACTTCTCGGCGTGTGTAGGTTTCCCTTTGTCTGCGGTTCAGCAGCCTGATGATGAGCAAATCTCACAGACCCCAGTGATGGAGTGATGAGGACTCCCTGGCTTGGGGAAATGGGCCTTTCTCTCCGGAGACCCCGCCCTGGGTTATTCAGGCACAAATGAAAATGAGTCTGAGTTCGTCCCATCTGCACATGGGGTCCCTCGCAAAGGGCCTGATCCTGGGAGGGGCTGATGGGTCCCCAATTCCCATTTAAAATAGTGGGAGCTGAGGGTGCAGAGCATGTCTCAGGACTGAGCCCTCCCCGTAGTGTGGAATGACTGGCGGGGTGTGCTTGGGAGATGCCCAGGTCTGCAGTGAAGTGTGTGTGTGGGAGGAGCTTGTTTGGCACCTGCCCATGTTGCGTCTGGCTCCAGCCAGAGGGTTTGTCCCTCACTGCTGTGAGCCCCAAATCGTAGAGATGATGCGCCCAAATCCAGACCTGAACACCCTGGATTCTGGAGCAGTTCGGATCCAGCCCCATCTCCAGCAGGCTGAACCGAAAACCTGGATCCAGACTTTGGGGAAAGTTTTGAATTTGGATCCAACTTGGCAAATTGGGCCTCTCTCTATAGGTCAGGGGAGAATAAGAGGAGACCCAAAGAGTCCAATGGGTTGTCCTGAGGGGTGAGTGTTTCTCTTTGCCTAATACCCAGGCCTTGAATCCCAGCTGTGTCAGGCCCCTCTCCCCACTGCTACCGTGTTACTGTATGGCTGCACAGGCAACTGCAAGAATTGCCTGCTACTAGAAGGTTGTCCCTCCCACCTCAAGGCTCCTTGTCCCTTCCTCAGCCCCCTCTCCAGTCTCTTCTTTTCCCTGTCCCTGTGGTCTTCATGGAGTTCACAGCTAGCTCAGTGTCCATGCGTGGGGCTCCAGCAGTAGCAGCCAGGAATGCTATGCTCGTGGTAGCATCCCTGGAAGGGGCCACTTTCAACATCCTTTGAAGGTGACCTGCAAGGAGAAGCTAGTCCCTGAAAAGATTTTTTGTTTGTTTGTTCTTTTCAAGTCCCTGGTTTTGTTGGAGGGACTTGTTCGGGATCTGGGGGCTTTCTCAGCACATAAATGAGGGGCTGAGAGAAAGGTGTTGAGACTTTAACAAAGACCACTTTCCCCCCAAGTGTTTGTCAGGATTTGAGTTAAATGGATGCTAACAAAAATGTGCCCGTCGTTCTAAACAGGCTGCACAAAAGTCACTTCCCCTCTCACCAATCAAGCGTCAGTTTCATGGTGTCTCAGCTGTTAGGATCTCACCAGGTCTCCAGTTGTCCACAGGAAAAACAGGATAGGCAAGCTAGCAATGTCTAGTTTACAAACATGCAGGATGTTTTTTAAGAGCCATACCCCTTCCAGGCTTTCTTTGTCCCTCTTAAAGCCGCAATAAAGGCCACACACCCAGTTACTTCCCCATCACAGGTCACTGGTAACACTGGGGCGTGGCAGCAGGAGGCTTTTGTTTCTGTGGTGACTTACGAAGATAGAAAGCCTGGTCTCCAGAAGCCAGCTCGGTTTTGCAGTGTGCGCTGGAGCTGGGCTGTCGGGGAGGCTTTCTGCTGTTTACCTGGCTGAGTTTGCAGCGTTGCTGTTCACTGTCCCACAGTGACAAGATGGCGGAGATGGCGGAATACGGTTACCTGTCCATGCCTCGGCGCTGCGGCGGCAGCCACACCCTCACCTACCCCTACAGGCGCTACACACGGCTGCAGCAAATCGCCCAATGTATGCCGGTGCATCCCGAGGAGACTGCCATGCTGACAGTGATGAAGGTATCCGGGACTGGGATGGCAGGGAGGGAGAGAGACCAAGAACACAGCTGGCCTGACTCTCCACCGGCCCACCCCTCGTGTGACTATTGACACCAGTGCAAAGTGGGTGTAAAACCATACCTGGTCATGACAGAAGTGCGCTACGCTCTTGCTTTGCACTGGGCTCCAGGGATATGCAAAGCAAGGGAGAACCAGACCCGGAGTGTGCAGTGTGCTTGCTGGTGGTACCCAGAGAGCTGTCTGGGACATGGGGCTGGCCCCTCCACCTCAGTTCCCGCTGTTGGATCACAAGAAAAACAGTTCTATTCCTAGATACAATCCCAAGTCAGATTGCCCCAGAGCCAGTCTGGATCTTGTCTACAAGATGCTAATAATTTTGAGTCAATAAAATGTATCTTCTTCATAAGCCTTGACTACGCTCGGGACGTGTTGCAAAGACGACCCTCAGTTGCTAACACCACTTCAGCTCCATGGTAGCTGTAATGTTGAGCCATAGATGGGGCTGCTGCCGGAATTTTAAGTCCCAGGTCATCTTACCCTGCTCAGAGCAGGTCTAAAGGAAACACTACTTAAACCACAGCAACCCGGCTTTTGCTACCAGTGTTGCTAATCACAGTGGAAAAGTCTCTGACTTGACCAAAACAGGCTGTTGTGGTTTCCATTGGGGAATTTAACTTTTGAATCATCTGGCAACGTAAGGCTTTTTAGAAATCTTCCTTTAGCCAGGGCCCTGTCTGTATCTGCAGCTGTTGGACAAGAAACGGTGGTCAGAGCTGGTAAGGGTGAGAATTAGTCGGGCCTTTTTAATCACCAGCTTTTCCAGGAATAGGAGATGCAGGAAATGTTGGGGGAAGGAAACCCTTTGGGCCAGGTGTCAGCTGCATGAGTGTGTGTGTGTGTGCGCGTGCGCTGCACTGGTATTGTAAAAGGGCCTTACACAGGCTGGAAACACCCCCATAGAATTCCCTGGAGCAGGAGGCCTTCTGGCTGGTGCAGAGCTGGTGTGAAGTTTCTACACTGACAAGAGGAGTGTGTCAGGCTTGCCTGGGGTACACCACACTGTCTGCTCTTGGTTTCCCAGGGGCAGTGGGAAGTAGAAGTCAGAGGAGCCCTGAGGCTGCTCCAGTTTATACTGGGGACCAGGCAGACCCAGCAATAGCTTCAGAATAAGGGGAACATGAAGCCGCATTATCCCCCAAATCCCTGCCCCAAGTACGGGACTGGAGTAGTTGAGAATCCAGCTGTTTGTTCCTAACCGAGTTCCTCCTGAATACAGAGGGGCTTGGAGTATCTGGACTCTCCAGAACCCCTAGCCCCCAGAGACTCTGAGCACCACAGCTTATTTTCTAGCTTCTCTAGCAGTTTCTAAAGAAATTCCACCCTTCCCCACCCCAATCTTGGGTGCAGAATAACCCCCAATGAGTCAGGGACAGCAGATGCTCCAGCTTCTGCCTCTCATTCCCAGCTCCACCCGCTCCTGACCGGGGGAGGTCCACAGAGGTCAGACTAGACGGTTAGGATGATCCCCTTTGGCAAAGATGGCAGCACGGAGAGTGAAGCAGGAAGCAATACACTCCCTCTCCTCTGCCCCCCCATGAACCCTGCTTCCACATCTCCCCAGCTGCCCACTGAGATGCACCTGCCTCCCAGATACCTCACCCCTCTGCTGTGCCTTTACCTACAGCGCTTTGCACAAAGGCCCTTGCCAGGCCTGTCATCGTGACTGGCCAAGTGGCTAGAACACTGGACTGGGACTCAGGAGAGCTAGGTTCTGTCCCGGGTTCAGGGTGTCCTTGGGCAAATCACGTTACTTCCCCGTGCCTCGGTTTCCCTATCTGTAAAATGGGGGCAATGATCCTGTGGAGTGCTTTGAGATCTATTGATTGAAAAGAGCTATGTAAGGGCTAGGGGTTGTTTTTCTTATTGCACCTTCTGCTTTTCAGGAGACCTTTTCCCTCACAGGCCTGGCCCCCCCGTAGAGTCCAAGATGGTCAGAGAAGTCTCAGTCCCTGGGAAACAAATCTCAGGGCTATATCCCCTATTAATAGTTCACATACAAGCCCACAATTAATTCCCTGGGGCGGGTGGGGGCAGAGAAAGAAAGGCGTGATTGGAAACACCCCAGACATGGGGTTGGGGCCTGTTCCAAAAGGGACACAAAGTCAGGGCGTTCCCAGGTGCCTACAGCCCCCCTCAGGCCCTGTACAGTGTGCTGACATGCCTGGTTGCTGCGCACTGCCGTCAGTCAGAACCGGCTCAGCCCTGGGAATGCGCATCGGAGCCTCCTCACCCCCACTCCACCTCCCCTGGCCTGTCCCTGCCAGATCTGAGCGAACAGAGCAGTGTAATGGAGGGGGAGGGGGAAACAGTGCGAGGTTGGGCTAGGGGGACGGGGTAACAGCGATAGAGAATTGGGGGGGAGAGATGGACTATCCAGGGCTCTGAAAATTGAGACTGAGAGTAAGAGAGTGAGACAAGGTGATGGGGATGAGGATGGTGTGACAATGGCAGAGATGGAGAAGAGACGTGGCTTGGAGGGGCAGGGAGGAATTAATGGGCGGAGTAGCGGCCTGCATTAAGGAAATTCCTACCATCTCAGTGTGGTTACATCAGTTAGCGACACTGCACTGATGCAAAGCTGGGCACGTAGCTTGATCCCATCATTCAGTGACGTACTTTACCGTAGATGCAAAGCCCACTCTGCATCGGTGCAGCTCGTCCACACTCGGGCTTGATACTGGCGTAACTCCCTTGATGTAGCAGCGCACGTGTGGATTTCCTTAATGTGGACGGTGCCCTAGGTACAGAGGGGTCGGCGCAGGGCAGCATTCCCGAGCGATACTGGTGTTTTCTAGTAAATACATGAGAGCATTGCGGAAGGGAAAGGAGGTGCCTACCGGGTGTTGAACCTGTTCACTCTGCTGCTGTGTGGGGGTCTGGAACAGGTATTCTTCTTTGCCTGAATGGAGGTTAGAAATGCTAATAACCCTCTAGGGTTGGAGCCAAATCCATTCTGTTTAGGTGCCTGTATTGTGCCCATCCCTAAGATATTTGAGCATCTTCCAGAATTAAGAATAAACCAGTAGCATCTGTCATGGGACATTTCCCCTCCCTTCCTCCTGCCAAGGGGAAAGGTTTTGTCCCTGCGTCTTAAAATGAAATATTAACACCCCCTTTCCAATATGCCACACGTTGCTTTGTGGAGACAGCAAGATTGAAGCAGTAGATCTAGGATAACCTTCTCAAACATGCCTAGGTGAGTTAGCAGTGAGTTCGGAGTCTAAGGCCCCCTGAAAATCAACATGATGTCGGCTCCTAAGTGGTTTAGGAACTCTTGAGTCTCCAGGTCTCAATTTTAACAGTGTAAATCCAGAATAATTCCAGTAGCCTTTTCAGATCCGAGACCAGAATCTGGCCACCTGGGTGTAATTTCCTTTAATGTACATTTCAGACCCTGATGTCTCTGATGCCCGTTCACCTTTTGGTAGAATATTGTTTGCTCTTCCGTGGCAGGACTCCTCTCCGAGAACAGATCAGGGTTTGTATGGAACTATGGGAGTCACTGTCACCCTCTCTCTAATACCAGTGTCGTGACTGTGAAGACCATGCGTACACAGAGGATGGGACTGATATGTGTGGTCCCGCTCTGGACAGTGACTACATACAAACAGCCACTGCTGACTTTAGTGACTGAAACAGGTTGTTACTGCTGTTAGCCCTGGAGAGCCAGCACAGCTCTGGGAGCATGAGCTGGATTCTCTTTTGTCTCATCAGCACACCCGTTAACCAAGTTCTGACCGAGGATGGAGAGAACCCAGCTTGACTCTCAGATCCCAAGTTGAGTTTGGAGGGCGAGCAGTTAGAGAAGCTAGTGGTTTACTTGCAAACTGAGCAGATTGATCTGGAGCCACTGAGAGGCAGTAGCCAGGAGGCCCCAGCAATGCTGTTCTTACCGAGTCACTGGTCTGCGTCGAACCCCCCTGGCCAATGCCATCCAGCTCATTCCCAGGGGTTTTCACTGTTGTTTTCTTTTAAAAACGCTGGGCATTTAAAAAGAACTCTGTCCCCAAGTCTGACTTTAACCACCGGCACCAATACCAGTTCTGTCTTTGCGTTTCCTTCCTAGCATGAAGAGGTGGATATCCTGGGCCTGGATGGACACATCTACAAAGGGCGGATGGACACTCGGCTCCCATCAATTTCAGCCAAGGATGGTAAGTCTCGGATCCTCTGTATGTTTTCTTTGGGGAGCCTTTGTTCGTCTCTTGCCTGTTGATGGACTGCAACTGTTTCTTTATCATGCTGGCCAGACAGAGACTGAGGAATGTGGGATTTAGAGAAGAGAAGGGTGTTCCCTCTTTCATCTGTTCCTCCAAAACGGATCTGCTGGCCACGTGGCACCCTGAAAAGGGCCACTGTATGATGGGAGGCCTTTATCTAGCTATATTAGGTAATTATATTGTCCTCCAGCACCTCGGTATCTGAGCACTTGACAATCTTTAATGTATTTCTATCCTCCTCAACCACACTGTGAGGCAGGGCTGTGCTGTTATCCCCATTGTACAGATGGGAACTGAGGCACACCGAGTGACTTGCCCAAGGTCACACAGGAAGTCTGTGGCAGGATTTGTTCCAGGCTAGCACCCGAACCACAGGATTGTCCTTCATCTTGATTCCTTGGATGGAATCTACTGCTCACATGACCTCCGGCCCTCTCCCCAACCCCTGTAAATTGGTATCCTTAAAACAATAGCTTGGGAAATGGGAGGTATGAGCTCCCTCGGAGCCTGTTTCAGCGCTCTGCTCGTCTCGGACCTAACTGTTGGCTCAGGGGTCGGCAACCTTTCAGAAGTGGTGTGCGGAGACTTCATTTATTCACTCTAATTTAAGGTTTTGCGTGCCAGTAATACATTTTAACGTTTTTAGAAGGTCTCTTTCTATAAGTCTATAATATATAACTAAACTATTGTTGTATGTAAAGTAAATAAGGTTTTTAAAATGTTTAAGAAGCTTCATTTAAAATTAAATTAAAATGCAGAGCCCCCCCGGACCAGTGGCCAGGACCCGGGCAGTGTGAGTGCCACTGAAAATCAGCTCGCGTGCCGCCTTCGGCACGCGTGTCATAGGTTGCCTACCCCTGCTCTAGACCCGGCTATAGCTTCCACGCCCCCCCTTGGACCCAGGATGGAACTAGCTCTAGCCCATGACTGAAATGTTGCCCCCTCCACACAAACACAGCCCACCAAGGCTAGAGGCAAGACTTGAAGAATGTGCCCCTACTGCCCCCTGTTGGCTGCCGAGGGAATGGCTCCCAAATTCTGCAGAGATAGGCCAAACTTCAGCCTATGCAAGAATGCATAGGGCAGTGGTGTCCTGCCACTGAGTAAGGGGGAGCAGCCAATGGGACACTGGGAGGGGAGGGGTCAGAGAGCAGCCAATGGGGCTCATGAGGTGCTGGGGATCCCCACCGGTAGCCAGGGCACTACACCAGAGCATGCAACCGAGCCAGTCAAAAATGGGAGAAAACTGGGTCAACAGTCAAGCGTCCCGTCTGGCACTTGTGTGCATCATTCCTCTCTTGGAATCACTGCCAGGTGACAGCAGCAGCTTGAATGAACTTGTCCTTCCCTTACAGTCCTGGTAGTTCATCTGTTCTCCTGTAGACTTTGCCAGTTACATAACAACGTGCCCGAGGCGGGCGGCGGTTTTGGCAGGGCAGAGCAGTGTGTGCATGTTCAGATCTGCATGCTAATCCCCAGGAATAAGGAGAGCACCCAAGGGGCTCAGCAAACGCATCAGGTCAAACCTTTCCCCAAGGAAATGAAGGGGCAAGAACTCTGGGGTCTTTTCCTGCCTCTGCCATGGGCTGGGGAAATTGCATGCTCGCTGCCTCAGTTTCCTCATTTGTAAAATGGGGATAATAAAGCTTTCTCATTAATGTATGTAAAGAGCTTTGAGATCCTGGGTTAGAGGACACTGTAACAGCACCCAGCAGTATTGCAGCACTGGGGTCCCACAGAGACTCCACCGTGAAAGGTCCTTGGACAGCAGATTCTCAGGTCACTGACTTGAATGGAGTTCCACCAGGTCCAGGAGATTCCATCAGGGATGCATGTAGCCCAGAATGTCTAAGGCTAACACCCATCTCAGATCTGCGCAGCGCTCCCATGGGCAATCCTCTGCGGTAGCTGAGCCACCATTACCTGGTGGCTCCACCTGGCTCCAAGAACTGTTGAAAGCCTCCACTTACCCATATGCTTCCCACCAGGTCCTTTGAAGTCCAAACCCAAGCTCTCCCGGTCTTCATCACAACGGCAGCCGACCCTGATGGACACAGCTGGCCTCCCGGCACGCCCGCACAGCGCCAAACTGTCTTCCCCCAGCAATTCAGGTACCTCGCTTGGGTCTAGATGGGAGCTGGAGCCCCCTGAGAATTTACTGTCTGATGAGCATGTGCTACTGAGAGGCTCCTAGCGGAATCCTCTGTCTCGTTCCCGGTGTTCCTAGCAGAGATTCCCCCCACCTGGAGCTGGGGTAGGTTATGCCAGGCTCTGTGGAGGCGCTGAGGTGAGGAGGGTTCAAGGAGGCTTCCCCCCTCCCGAGGGACAAGACACACCAGTGTGCCTCTGGAGTCCCCACTAACCACGGTTAGCACAGGAATATTTGTGCCCAGCTGCTGCAGAGGCAGCCAGCAGAGGGGGCATGAGTTAAAGAACAAACCCGCTTCCCATCACAGCGCTGAGGCTGTTTGTCAGGACATCAGCGATAACAAAAGCCGACAAGGAAATAAAAGCACCCCTGGGACACCGACAGGCTCTGTAAACCAATCGGGGGGGGATCACTGGGGCCCTTGCTCCATCCGTGGGGAAAACCCATGGAGGGACAGGGAACAGCCACATGCAAAGCTTCCTCCCAGCCCCATGCAGGTGTTTCAGCCCCCCCCCCCCTGAGATCTGCAGGTGGGAACCTCCCCAGCGCCCGGCGCTGCTCCTCATCCTCCCCACAGGCAGTTGCTCCAGCACCCCACCCAGTGGGATACTCGCTGCGTAGAAGGGGAAACGCTGCTGATTCAATCCACTCAGACTGGAGGGGAAGCTGCTCTCTGGTTCCATCCGCCCTGAAAAGGGCCACACATGGGAGCTAGAGAGATGGGCCATGGGGGAAAGCAGCAGTGCTCCCCGCCCCAGATGCAGGGCCTTTTCTGCCATCCCCTCAGCGCCGTGTGGCTGAGGGCAGCCTGCGGCCCAAAGCAAGAAGGAAAGACGTGTTCTTGATTCCAAGCTTCGTACTGGTGCTGGGGAGATATCGACCAACATTGCAGACTCTTCTAAACTAGCGCTCAGCGGTGTCCTTCATAAAAACACCCTGATGATGGATGGATTTGGGATCTGTTGGCAATCCCTGTGTCAGCCCATCCATCTGTTCGTTTTGGGAAGGGTGAGCTGCGTGATGCTGCAGAACCATGTGATCTGAGCCGTGATTTAAAACACAAACAGCTAAAACAACTGTAATAGAATATGGCCTGAGTGAAAAGCTTGCTGGGAAAGCACAGAACCTCTCAGCACAGCTGAGAACAATATTCCCCTCCTACCATTAAAACAGAGACACAGCATTTGACAACGTACATGCCTTCAGCAGGAAGAGCACGTGTTTAGCTTGGTAGAATTGGGTATGGAAAGAAAGAAGGCAAAAAGTTTGATTGGACAAATGGATTGAAAGCAGCAAGGCTGGAGGAAAAGATCCATCAATAGATATGTGAAATAACAGATTGCATTGGGGTGAACTTCACTCAGAGGGACAAATTCTCTGCTTCACTGAAGCCCCACACTTAATTTGCTCTTCAGCAAATTAAGTGTGGGCATTGATGTCCTCAATAAACAAACATGGAGTGGATGTCAGGAGCAGGCTTAGGACGTACTGGAAGGTAGGGGAGATGGATGGATTTGTAGAAGAGCATGTCGATGAATGGGTGGACAGAGTCATAACAACTGATAGTTGAAGGATAGAAGCAGGGTAGGCAAATGAAGGGTGGTTTGATGTAATAATGAATGGAAAAGAGGCTGGATGGGGAAGGATCAGGAAATGAGGGATGGGGAAGGCAGGATGGATGGGTGATGAGTGCAGAAACAGAGACACGGCCCAGGATGCACGGAAAATCAGACAACTGGATAATCCGTCAGTTAAATCGTCTGCAATGTTTCCCTGTAGGTACAGCTAGGTCGCTAAAGGACAGGCCCGTGTCATCGGAGGGTCGACTGTCCCGGGTGGACCTGACCCATCTATCAACTTCAACACCTCCCCCTGAGGAGGGAAGAGAAGATTCTCCCACGCAGGAGAAAGAAACCCTAGAGCTTCAGCTGGACCTTTCCATGCGCCGGCGATCGGCTGAGCAGCCGGCTCCGTTACAGTGACTGCGATGGCAGGAAAGCAGCGCTCGCTGACGGAAGCCAGGCAATAAAGAGTGAGCAGAACAGAGAGGAGGCTGTGTACATGCGTCGCGGCGATAGGAACAGGGAGCTTTTTGTGCGGTGCTTGCGGCAAACAGGACCCAGGGCGGTTCCACGCAGCAGCACTGGTAGAAGGCGGAGGTGGGCAGCACAGTCAGTCATGAAAACAATTCGTCCCTGGCCTTTGCAAATCCTCCCCTCACTGCTGCTAGCTTTGCCTGAGTAGATTTTGCAAATACCAGATCTTCTGCATAAGCCAGTTTGACACCGGCTCATTTCAACCCCGGGGATCTTGCACTGTCCTTTGTCTCACAGAGCCCGACGCACCTCATGTGCACAAAGGGGAGTCTTTGAAACTGGACTATTGGTGACTTGTTTGAGTGAAAAGCACCAGAGCAGAATGCAGCCCAAAGTTCTCCCCCACGTAGGGAGACCAGATGTCCAGATTTTATAGGGACAGTCCCGATTTTTGGGTCTTTTTCTTATATAGGCTCCTATTACCCCCATCCCGTCCCAGTTTTTCACACTTGCTGTCTGGTCACCCTACCCCCACGGCCCACCCACTGTCCTCCTCGGTGGAGAACTGTGGCTCACTATGGGGCCCTAAGTAGCTACTTGGAATGCTGCATGCTGGGAGCTGTAGTCTTCATAGGCTGAACCTTAGTACCGAAGAGGAGGGTAGGCTACAGTCTGCTCTATTCTGTGCACCTTGGCGGTGGCCCTTGGAAAGCCCCCTAGCAAACGACTAGTGCTGCCCTCATGTGAGCAAAGCCTGAGCTCCATGACAAGTAAGGACTGGTCCCTCTAGACATCAAATCAGGGTTTGTGGGGCAGGCAGGGAGGGGATTGAGCACCAGGGTAGCTGCCTCCCCTCTCCCAACCCCTTCACACAGTGCTTGATCCAGCATGGGCTTCTTGCAGCTGTGCTCAGACTGGAGTTGGCAAGAGAGGCTTAATCAGAGCAATCGTTTCTAAGCAAGGGGCTACACACTTTTGGTGACTGCTGTCTTTCCTACAGCAGGGCAGTGCCGTGCTCCAGGAGTCATGAGAAAAGAATGTGTTGTTCTGTCGTTTCCTCATCCGGTGCACACGCATGCCTCTCTGATCAGAACTGCTCTTTCCTCCGTGCAGGTCTTTGCTTCCCTGAACGCCTGGGCCTCAGATTGGGGATCAGGCAAAGGGTGCCAGCCCCAGCTAATATCATCTAAACTTCCCAGCCCTTTGTTTTCTTTTGTCGGTGAGGAGGAAGGGCTTTGAGAGGGAGGGAGGGAGGTGATAGTGCTGAGTGATTTGCAGAGGACAGGTGGCCTGTAGATAAGGCACAAGACTGAATGTCAAAGCCAGGTTTGATTCTTAGCTCTGCCACTGACTCACTGTGTGACCTTGGGTGGACTCCTCCGCTCCTGTATGCCTTCATTTCCGCCGTCTGTAAAAGTCCCTGTTGTGAGGCCTTGCATAAAGCACCTTGAGATCCCTGGATCTGTGGAGCTGTACAAACGCAAGGGAATGCTATGAAGGGTTACAAATGATTCCAAAGCTGGGGAGACAGATGTCTAGAAAACCGACTGGAAAACCCCACCCTATAATCCTCCTGGCTTGCATCTAAGTTCTTGCATTATTATCCCCATTCCTTGATTCAGTCTCATGCACTTTGTGCCTGCTGCATTTAACCTAGCTGCATGCTTTTCATTTTCATCCTCTCCATGGCTCTGGTGCCGGTTTGATCATCATTTGGAGTTAGCATTGAGAGAGAGTGAGAGAGAAAGAGAGGACTGTTGTTCTTGCCTTAGAGTGCTGGAGGTGCTTTGGACGGCCCTAGCACAAGAAGACAAACCAAAGTCCAGAGTGCAGGCGGCAGGTAGCATTTCGTAGTCAAGGAAGGGCTGAGCAGTAAAGACGCTACGATGCAGCTTGATTTCAATTCTCTGCTCACTCACACCTTTGTGTGTCCAGCAGGTTTCAGTAGGCTGTGTTGAGAGAACTAAGTGTCAGTGTAACCAATACTAGACAGATCACTTGGCACAATTATTGTGTAAGTCCTCCTAACTGGGTTAGTAATTACATAGGGTTTACTTGATTAATGCCCCGTAGCTACTTCCTTGCGTGCTCCCAACATTGTTTTGTCATTACACTTGGCCAATGGCATCTGTGACTTGATGCAGGTATCAGAAATCATCACACGCTTGCTATGTAACGTGACCCATTACCTGCCACCAACCTTGCAAATAACCAAGACGCTCTCCCAGTAAATACATGGCACAGGCTGTAATGCCACTTGCCCTGTTACTAAATGTCCATCCCCTGGCACTTGTCTTATAAACATCCCGCCACTACCTGTTCTGTCATAGTTGTTAACCTGTAAATATCCTGCCTCTGCAGTGTTTGCCCCTGTGCTGAGGGTGGAGGAGGGACAGTTGGGGACCGTTGTCCCTGCATTCTGAAAGCTCCTGCCAGTGCACAACGAAAGCAACAGTGTTTCTGTGAGGGGAAAACTTGAATGAAGTTTATGGTATGGGCCGGCTCCGGCTCCCATTAGAGTCAATGGCAAAACTCCTGTTGACTTCGATGGGAATCAGGCTGGGTGCTGAATGATTTAATGTGAAGGACTTGACAGTGTGGAGCGGAGACCAGCTTAAAGAGGAGGGACCAGGGGAAGATTCCCCCCTGTGCAGGGGGCCTCGACACAGCCTCTGCACCTCTTACAGCTAGGTCCCACGGGAGCTCTATTTTGAGGGTATGTGTGGGACTTAAGTGGTGCCTAGGGCCAGGTCTCTCATGCCAAGTGGATTAAACTTGGGCAAGTTTTGGCCCCACATATGCGATATGTCCACTGCATGTGAACACCGGATGTGACATGCTTGTTGTAGGTCTCCAGTGAACCCAGAGCCATGCCAGGGTCGAATCTGTCCATAGTTTGCTGAGGTTTTGCCTTTCATTAATACCCCATGGTGGACACCCGCTGTGCATGCTGGCAGCACACGGATGCTGCATGGCAGCTGGCTACAAGCATATGCCGTGCACTGTAGGCAGGCTGCGCATGTGTGCTGCACTCACATGCCATATACTGCAGGCTGGCCACACATGTGCTTCATGGTGGGTGACTACAAATGCTGCATGCTGCACTTATATGCCACGGACTGCCCAAGACCTGCTGGCAGCACCTGTGTGGCTGGCTCTACGCTGGGAACCTGTAGGCCTAGCTGCTGGTTTCCTGCAGTCACATGGAGACGACAGCATCCTGCACGGTCCTGAAGTTTAAAATTAAATTAACCTTAGAGAATGATACACCCCCAGCCCCGTGTTCTCTGTGTAGTCCCCTCCCCCCAATGCCGAGGGCCAGTAGCAACGGGGTGTGGCACCGGGAATGTGAAGGAGGAATTCTTTATGCCTCCTCTGCTCCAGCACCCTGGTGGATCTCTGGAGAGCAGGGGTCCACCATCACCAGGGCCAGCTCCAGGCACCAGCTAAGGAAGCAGCTGCTTGGGCCGGCCAATGCAAAGGGGCGGCACTCCATCCTCTATTGGGGCGGCATGTCCGGGTCTTCGGCGGGAATTCGTTGGCGGGTCCCTCAGTCCCGCTCTTCCTCTTTGAGCTGCCGCCGAAGAGGAAGAAAGGGAGTGAAGGACTTGCTGCCAAATTGCCGCTGAAGAGTGGAGCAGCGCGATTGAGCTGCCACCAAAGTGTTGCTGACTGGCTTTCCTCCCTCCCCACCCCCCCGGCCGCTTGGGAAGGCAGAAAACCTAGAGCCGGCCCTGACCATCACTGTCCTCCCTTGGCCTGCTCCTGCCTCTGTCCCCAAGCCTCACTGTGCACGCTGTCTTCGCAAGCTTCCCAAACCCTGTCTCTCCCCTCCGCTCGCATTCAGCGGTTGCAGGACTGCTCTAATACCGCTGTATCTGGGGCTCTCCATGCCTGCTGCGGAAGGGGCAGGATCTACTCCTGAGAGAATGCCAATGCTAGTTCCGTGAGTCCCAGCTCTGCCCAGCTGGTGCCATGGCTGCCTACTGCACGTTCTCACTGGCTGCGCACACGGTGCCATCGCCGACGTGGGCGAGAGAGTCTGAGCGCAGAACCGCAGTACAGCTGTGATGGGCCACTCCCGACTGACTGTAGAGCCACTGAACATGGGCTCTGGCCTTTGGAAACCAGCAACTTTGGACATCTAGAAGCAGGCTATTAAAATATTCCTCCCCCCCCCCCCCCCGCCTCCGTCGTATGATTCCCCAGGACAAGGGAGAACCTTTTGAAACAGGCCAGTTTTAAGCAATGTTTACCTGACCCGCCTTTCCTGGGCGTGTCGAAGGAATGATCGTGACTTCTTAGTCATCATTAACCACGTCAGAAGCGGTGGATTTATTTACTTAAATAGCATCGTATGGGGCCAAACTAGTCATTGCCGTGAGCTGTGCCTGCTTATGCCAATGGTAAACTGCTCCTCATATGTTTGTTCAAAACAACTTAGGATCGTTTTATTGTCCTTGGAGTGAAGGTGGGAGGACGTGAACACTTCGGATGCGATGTGCTGCTCAAGTGGGTGTGTTCTAATTCACTCTGATCTGTACAGCTCCCCCGTCAATTCACTCATTCACACTTCACGCTGCGTCCCGGCCTCTGAGATGCATTTTTCTCATCTGAAAGAGAATGCAACACGTACAGGCTGCACCCACAGTTTCCACTATGCACTTCCTGTCTTGGCTGCTTCCAGTGATGGGATTAAGCGTCTTAGCCAGTGTGAGAGTGATCGCTTAGGGCTTGTCTGCGCTACGGATGCTATAGCGGCACAGCACCATAGTGTAGACACTTGCTTCATCAACAGAAGGGTTTTTTCATCTGTAGTTTATCTACCCTCACCAACAGGCAGTAGCTTGGTCGATGCGACCAGCAGTGTCTATGCCGTGGCTCAGGTCGGCCGAACTGCGTCTTTCCAGGTGTGAATTTTTCACACCTGTGAGCAAAGTAGCTAAGTTGACTTAAGTTTTCAGTGGAGATCAGGCCTGAGACCGGCTGTCAGTCTCCTGGACTTG